TTCAACTTTCTATTCCAGCATTGTGTAGACGGAACTCCAGGGTTCACTCGAAAGTGCCAAAATCTTGGAGTGCCAATGCGCAATATTGTTTGAATTAAGTGTAAACCAAACAGAGACACTAGCATTTTTTGAGACCCTTGGCTCATTTAATTTTTGCCTAGAAAATGCCTGAACATGAAAGGGTCGATGACCTTGGATCATGTTTTTTTTTTGAAGTGGGTTTTTCGTTCATGGAGGACAAATTTGATGTTTTCTGGGGATTCCTGGGGAATATAGGGTGCCGGTTTCAGGAAGGGTCAGGCAGTTCATTTTCTAGGGAAAGAATGACTTATTTTGGGTCTTGAATTTTGAAACATATTTCTGTGGTTTTTTGAATGATGCAGCTCCATGCTATTTTTGATCATGTTCTAAAGCACAAGTGGTGAGTTGATCGTGAATTGCACTTCCATGTGCCTATTTTCTTGAAAAAATGCACGTGCAGGACAGGCATAAACATTTCTAGAAAATGATTAGACCAGGCCCCCAAGAACATCGATCTTTATCTGTGTTTTTTTCGTTTTCCAGGCTTGTGACTTGTGACTGTTCCGTTAATTTTCAGTCTCGCACATGGGGGATCATGTGAGTTACCCCCCAAATCGTTTTTTTTAATACCAAGGCATGTTGATTTATTTTGTAGAAAAAGTATTGTTTGAGAGCTGCATTCTCTTGAGCCGTTTGGCAACACATGGCAACACAAACCAACAAATATATAGAGACCTTGGCCAACCTTGATTCTACCAACCAATCTTCAACAAGTCTTGGACAGAGAAAAAACATCACTTACGTTGGCGTTGGATTGCAGGTCAATTTCCTTTTGGTTTTTTTGGTGACAGAATTGACGCAATTATTCAATTTGATGTTTTCTGGTGATTCCTGGGGAATATGGATTACCTGCCTTAGCAAGGATTGCACAATTCATTTTCTAAAGAAAACAGTATTCATGTCTGGTCCTCCATTTCTGGAACCATTTTTTTTGGGGATCATTTTTTATTGTTCTTATGATGGCATTACAGGTCATTTTCTAGACCCAAAGTGGTGAATTGTACTCTCATGCACCCGTTTTGTTAAAAAATACATGTCCAAAACATCCATACATCCCTTTAGAAAATGAATAGACCACTCAAATAAAACGTCCAATTTTACTTGGTTTTTGCATTTTCTAGGCTTTTGACTGGGTCAGAACTTTTCTATCTAGAAAATGGGGGTCACTTGAGTGACCCCCTACAATGTCAAAAGGGATGAGTGTGGAGTGTAGAGTGTGGAGTGTAAAGTGTAGACTGTGGAGTGTGGAGCGTAAAAGTGTGGAGTGTAAAGTGTGGAGTGTGAAGCGTGGAGAGGAAAGCGTGGAGTGTAAAGTGTGGAGTGTGGAGTGTAGAGTGTAAAGTGTAGAGTGTAAAGTGTAGAGTGTGGAGTGTAAAGTGTGAAGTGAGGAGTGTAAAGTGCAAACTGTAAAGTGTGGAGTGTAAAGTATATAGTGTGGAGTGAGGAGTGTGGAGTGAGGAGTGAGGAGTGTGGAGTGTAAAGTGTAGAGTGTAGAGTGTGGAGTGGAAACTGTAGAGTGTGGAGTGTGGAGTGTAAAGTGAGGAGTGTGGAGTGTAAAGTGTTGAGTGTAAAGTGTAGAGTGTGGAGTGTAAAGTGGGAAGTGTGGAGTGTGGAGTGTAAAGCGTGGAGTGAGGAGTGCAAAATGTAAAGTGTGGAGTGAAAAATGTAAAGTGTAGAGTATGGAGTGTAAAGTGTGAAGTGTGGAGTGGAAAGTGCAGAGTGTGAAGTGTGGAGTGGAAAGTGTAGAGTGTGGAGTGTGGAGTGTAAAGTGTGGAGTGAGGAGTGTAAAATGTAAAAATGTAAAGTGTGGAGTGAGGAGTCAAAAATGTAAAGTGTGGAGTGTAGAGTGTAAAGTGTACAGCGTAAAGTGTAGAGTGTGGAGGGGAAAGTGTGGAGTGTAAAGTGTGGAGTGAGGAGTGCAAAGTGCAAAGTGTAGAGTGTGGAGTGAGGAGTGTAAAGTGTAAATTGTGGAGTGAGGAGTGTGGAGTGTAAAGTGTGGAGTGTGGAGTGTGGAGTGGAAAGTGTAGATTGTGGAGTGTGGAGTGTAAAGTGTGGAGTGTGGTGGAGTGTGGTGGAGTGTGGGGTGTAGAGTGTGGAGTGTGGTGGAGTGTGGGGTGTAGAGTGTGGAGTGTGTAGGGGTGTAAAGTGTGGAGTGCAAAGTTTAAAGTGTGGCGTCCAAAGTGTAAATTGTGGAGTGTAGAATGTAAAGTGTAGAGTGTGAAGGGGGAGTGGAAAGTGCAAAGTGTAAAGTGTAGAGTGTGGAGTGAGGAGTGTAAATTGTAAATTGTGGAGTGAGGAGTGTGGAGTGTAAAGTGTGGAGTGTAGAGTGTGGAGTGGAAAGTGTCGAGTGTGGAGTGTGGCGTGTAGAGTGTAAAGTGTGGAGTGAGGAGTGTGCAAAGTGTAGAGTGTGGTGGAGTGTAGAGTGTGCAGTGTGGAGTGTAGAGTGCGGAGTGTAGAGTGTAAAGTGCCACCCCTGCCACGCAAAACGACATGACAACCTGCTTGGAAACCTTCGAAAAGGAGAGATTTTGCAGCTTCCCCCATAGACACGGCGACGCCGCAGGAAAACCAGAGACTTGAGACGAGAGATGTGGGAGCATCAAAACGAGCCTTTCGTGCGAGACTTCCTCCAATTTTCATACTTTGTAGCTTCAAAACCGACGTTTTCCTACGAGTTTTCGTACGAGCCTTTAAATTTGCTACCTCAAAATCGATGTTTCGTGGAAGGCTTCCGTCAATTTTCAGCACATCTCACAAAATGCCACGTCTGCCACGGAATTTGCACCTTGTCTCCACTTGACGCGGCCCTGCCAATGCGATTCGTAAAAACACGCAACACGACGCGTCTAAAGTGCTGCGCCTGCCACGCAAAATGACGATGGACACGTCCAAAGTGCTGCGCCTGCCACGAAAACTGCAACGCATTTTCTGAAAACGTCGCAAAAGTATTGCGCATGCCACATAAAATGACTTTCGACACGTTACAAAACACGTCTGAATGTCACGAAGTGCCATGCCTGCCACGCGAAACGCACAAATTACCCCTTCTGGAGAACTTACCAGAGGCACGGCCATATAGCAATCGCGCGGACGGTTGCGAGTGGTTGCGGACGGTTGGGCAACGGGAACCCTTGCTACGCATTCGGGAAAGAAAGGGAAAGGAAGGGACAGGAATCAGGAAGGGAAAGGAAGGGAAAGGAATGGAAAGGACGGGAAAGGAACGGAAAGAAAGGGAAAGGAAGGGAAAGAAAGGGAAAGAAAGGCAAAGGAAGGGAAAGGAAGGAAAAGGACGGGAAAGGAAGGGGAAGGACGGGAAAGGAAGGGAAGGAAGGGAAAGGAAAGGAGAGGTTGATTTGGAAATCAGCCGCCGTCGCATGACCGTGCTCAGAACGAAGATTTTGCCCCAGAACGAAGATTCGGCGGGTCCGGCTTCAGAAGAAAAAAGGTGAGGACCAACCAACCTGACCATGGAAAAAAATTATGGAAAAACATTATTTTTAATGGGGCCCTCACTATTTCTATGGCCATGGAAACCATGGCTATGTTAAATAACCAGATGTATAGATGCGGCAGTGGCTTGGCAATTTTGTAGGATACGATACCCGTTTTTCCCCAAAAGTATCTCCGATGCTTGGGTTCTCGTTTAGTTTCTCGTTTGCTGCGGGGGAGCGATACGTAGTGTTGGACGGAGATGGGAAGGAAGGAAAGAAGGAAGGAAGAAAGGAAGGAAGGAAGGGAGGAAGAGGAAGAGAAGGAAGGGAGGAAGGAAGGAAGGGAGGAAGGAAGGAAGGAAGGGAGGAAGGAAGGAAGGGAGGAAGGGGAAGAGAAGGAAGGAAGGGAGGAAGAAAGGGAGGGAGGAAGGAAGGGGAGGTGCAAATAGCTTGCGGACAGCTTCGCCGGGAGGGAGCGAGACAGCATGCTGGACGGAGGGGAAACCGTGGAAATAGCTTGGGGAGAGCTTCGCTGGGAGGGAGCGAGACAGCATGCTGGACTCAGAGGCTTTGACACAGAGAAGTCGTTTGCACAAAACAAAACCTTGCTTCTGTGTAAAACGTCCTCTGTGTGTAAACGTCTCTGTAAAGCTGAAAAAATGAATTTTGCAGTGAATGCGCCCATAATATTCATCTTCCAAAAAGGTGCTGGCAAGAGGCGAAAGGGAAATAAACCAATTATTACTCGAATTTGTTTGCTGTCGTTTTGCTTTTGGGTTCTCAGGCCCCCCCTTGTTTGGAGCCTTGAAAGGTCTTCTCGGTGGAAATTTCCAATATATTTTCCCTAAAAAATCTCAGTGTTGGATATCCTATACTTTGTAGCAATCTAAACATTTTGCTTGTTAGTATAAGTAGTTATATATATTTCTGTGCGTGTTGACACCAGACCACGACGTATGCGAGGCTTCATTCTGAAACTGCTCTTTTGTGTGGTAAATCACAGATTTCTGTCCGATGTTTGCTTCCTCTGTGGGTCTCAACATGTCTCAACCTTGGTTGGGTACTTTGATGCCTGAATCTTTTGCCATGAATTGTATATCAATTAGTATGCAAGAATTAGTATTCAATTAGTAGACTCCACGCCCAAACTATAGATCTTTTGCCTACTGATCGTTCAATGATACTCTATATTTACTAGCTGTATCCAGATCTGGCCAGCTATTTTTCAAAAATCGAAGATTGGAGATATATGATTTTATATTCCCATATGATTCGGCCTGGAATCCCCATTAAATCCATCCCAAAATCCCCCTCCGACAGGCCAATGCCCTCTTGGTCTCCGCCAGCGCCATGGCCAGTTGCCAACAGCTCAACGATGCTCTCCGTGTTTTGGCGGACTTGAGAGGTTATGGTGCCATGGTGCCATGGGACTTCATGGTGATATAAAAACTGGGATACTGTGGATGGGCCAGCGGCATCCTAAATCCGAGATAAACCACCAATTTGGGATGGTTGAAAGCCTAGAAACGGTGGGATGTTTACCATCTATCAACGGGTGGAGGATTTCACACCCATCCACAGTATGATGAAGATTAATGCTCCGTTTGCTGAATGCTGAAAAATCCCTGAACTGAGGTTTGAAGAGGGGAAACTCACAAATGGATGATTTTCCAGCAAGCCATGTTTGATTACCAGAGGGTACCCTCCGAAAAGATAAAAAAGTAAGTGGATTCTACATGTTTCTACCTTTTGGGGGATTAGTAATTTTGATGAGCTAGTGTAACTGCAGTTTTGATTCGTAAACCATGATTTCTTAGAAGATCTTAGAAGTAAATCTTACATTTCCATGGTTTAAGAGTTTAAGAGTTAATGGAGCAATGTCGAAAAGCCATTTGTTTATTTTTACTATTAATTTGGGTTTTACTAAGCTAAAGGGACCAACCCACAATCATTGTTGGAATAGCTACAACAAAACCAGTACAAACAGTTCGCAACCAGCTTGAATGTATCATAAAAAAGAGCCAGTTTTTCCATGACATGAACTAGGTTGTAGGCGGCAAGAATTATAAGTTTCCATTGGTTTTGATGCTTGTATGATTTCTTTGGTGCTGATAGTCTTGATCCATGCAAAGTTTGGTCATTTGCTGAACTATTCTTGGAAAGAATGACTGGTCAACGGATTCAACTCTGGAATCATTTGGAGGGTAAACCCACAAAAGCTGCCATAGATATCCACTGCTTTCAGACATACCCATCGTAAAACATACTGAATATCATTGTCAGTTCATCAGTTCATCCCCCATAAAATGTCCCTATTTGTACTAATGAAATACTATGGTTGGTCTCAGGTGTAGCTGAGCTGGCGCGGGCCATCTATCGCGACCTAGGCGTTTCGCGGACGGACATGGCTTGTCGGTTTTTGGTGAATGGCTAGGTCTACGTGACGTTTTCGTTTTAATAGTGTCATTTTTTAAGCACAGGAATGACAGACTCAGAGTGGTTATGGCAATGACTGTTATGTGAGCAATGCTGGACATAATTTGGATTCTCGAAAATAATATATCGTAGTAGATTTTCGTAAATTCTTAGACAGACATATGATGATAGATAACAATAGATAAGACTAGCCAGTAGCAGATGATAAAGCTTAAGAGTCGAATAAATGATAGGATAATGATAGTAGTGCAGTTCATTTTATTGCATATGTTTAGTGGAGATATATGGGCTGAAAGATGGGGATAGGAATTCTATGGAATTCTCCTCCGGAAAACGGACATGAAGAAGGGGATTTTTACACCATTGAAAAAGGGGAGGAGAATCTATGAATTGCAGCATTTGAACAACATGATTGCTAGAGGATATTTTTTGGGGGATCCATGGTGTATGATGGTGTATGATCTTACCCCATTGGCAAAAGTTGCCATAGCATGCCATCTCCCCAAAGGGTTGGTTGACAGAACTGGAAGATATCTATGCCATGGTCAATGAGTCAGATGTTTTTTCTTTTAGTTTATGTGCCATGGTCAAATGTTGTTTTATTTTCCCATATTGTTAGTCATCGATCCATAGGGGTCTCTGTTTCTATACCGGTCATTTTTGGACTCTGATCCAAAGACCACTCACATGGAAAGATCCTGCCATCGTGCGGAAATGACATGTGTCTCATGCTGATCCGCCTTTTTTTATGATATTTTTATGTAACCAACACTAACGCATTTCCATGCATTTCCCATACTTCAGGAACGGCTTATAGAAACAATAAAAACAATATCCAAATACAACAATGTTGACAATTGACTTTACCATATATATATATATATATGTATATATATATATGGTCCCGTGTCCCGTGTTCCCACCCCCCCCCCATGGGATGGGGGGGGGGTATGATGCCCCTGTGGTGGTGTATATACATACATACATACCTACAGACCTACCTACCTACCTACCTACCTACATACCTACGTACATACATACATACATACATACCATTACATTACCTTACCTTACATTACCTTACCTTACATTCCATACATATACATACATACATACATACATACATACATACATACATTACATTACCTTATCTACATACATTACCTACATACCTTACCTACATACATACATACATACCAACATACATACATACCAACATACATACATACTACATACATACATACCAACATACATACATACCAACATACCAACATACCAACATACCAACATACCAACATACCAACATACCAACATACCAACATACCAACATACCAACATACCACAGGGGGGGGCGACCAGAAGAACCATACCACCACCACAGGCCACAGGGGGGGGGACCAGAAGAACCAGACGATACTGTCCACCCATACCCATTGGTGGGGGGGGGGGGGGGGGGAGGGGGGGGAGGGGGGGAGGGGGGGGAGGGGGGGGAGGGGGGGTGGCCAACGCTGCACCATATATATATATATATATATACCTAGGGTAAACTAACATAGATGTGGAAAACTCTGGTTTCCCGTTCGGAAATGCTCTACATTCATAGTGGGTTTTCCACATCTTAAACGTTTACACGATGGGATTTTCCTGACTTTCCCCAAGGGTTGCAACCACCGGCCAGGCAACGCTGAAGGCTTGACGGATGCGGAGCGATTCGCTGGTGTCGTAAAGGAAGCACTGCAGGAGCGGGCACCAGATGCAGAGGTTTTTAGTTTTGAAACAGGATGGTTAACCATGAAAAATGGGGGATCTAAGATGATTTAAGCGTATTTAAGGAACGAAAAACACGGATTTAACCGGCAAGAATGTGGATTTCCGTGAGAAGAAACCAGCAAAAAAAGATCAAACAAGTGAATCTAACATCATTTTGAATTCCCTCCAGTTAGACAGATGTGGATGATACTTGTTGATGTTTGGAATATGTACATACCATGACCCTTGCCTGTGAAATTTGGATCACTACTTGGACTGAGTTTTCGTGATTCTGATCGTATTATATACACATATTATACGGTTGGATTAATATATGATTATTGATTACTGTATCCTCACTCAGTATTTGGGTGTTTTTGCCGCGTTTCCTTGTGCTGGCGGTTGAAAAGCACATTTTGATGATATCCAGACCAGATCGCAACGCTTGGTATACCCTATGTGTGCTTACTTGTATTCCAAAGTTTTTTCTGTATGCTTCTTCTTGTTTGTTACTTTCCATTCATGTTGTTTTCCTTGTTGGTTGCATTTCATAGTCACCAAGATAGTTCCTATCCAAACATAGCATTTTTTTCAGTCCCAGGAAGTTGGTTTTCTTTTGCTCACCAGACCTCCGGAATTTTCGCCTGTGATCATCATCCGTGGCCGGGGAAAACATGGGAAAACTCGACAAAATGAAGGTTTTTTTCATGGGAAGATGATCTGTAAATGGTGGATTTTCCATGTCATTTTCCACAGCAAGCCACGTTTGATTGATAGCTACCGAGGGTAGCTAACATATATAGCCATGGGAAATGACCCATAGAAATAGATGGTTTACCGAACTTAAAAATGGTGATTTTCCATGGCTATGTTAAATAACCAGATTGTAATGCATACTGTACAGTATTACGGAATAGCAACTTAATACCATCAGTATGCAACCTCGCCAAATATTGACACATATTGACACATTGATGGTCATACATGCTTATACCTCCCCATCGGTATGTTGCTGTAAATCAAATGCAATTAAATACCATCTATAGACCTCTATATGTATAAATAAAAAGTAGATAAATCAAGAAACGAAGAAATAACTGTATATTATATATAATAATTAGATATTATATATATATAATTATATATTCTATAATTATATAATATATATATACACAATGAGACCAACTGTTAAGCGAAGCACCGAACCCAATTAAGACATCATGGACTTCAGGAAGTGGCCCAGCATGCCGCGGGAACCAGCAACGGCTACCCTTCCGGTGCTGCCAGCCGCGGTTCGGGTCCCGTGGGTGCCGCGGGGAACAGCAACGCGCATGGCCTTGAGACGCGAGGTGAGAGACGGTGTGGCACGGTGTGGAGGGCTGGAGGATGGTTTACTGTAAACTCAGCGGATTTCAAGCAACAAACTCAGCTGGATCTATCTGGATTCATCCAACTGAAACAAAACAAGAACAGTTGGTGAATCTTGAATGGATAGTGACTAATCCTTTAGTCTTTTGCTATCAATGGGATTATCTACTAACCAAGGCATATGGATTTGAAGCCACACTAATATCATTAAAGGGATTTGATGGATTCCAGCCGCAAACATCATTCCATGATGTTCAAGAATGAGAGGATACCCCTACTGTAAATAGGGGCATTCGGGACGGAACTCGCCCCAGGTCTGCCAGTTCTGGATCTTCATTGATAGCGATAGGATGATCAGATTGTAAATATCCTATATATTTAAATATCCGATATACTTAATCCTATATATATATATATGTAGATATAGGATATAATATATATATATATTTAATTGTAAATATCCATTTCAATCCTTTTCATGAAGATATTTCATTGTAAACAGTTGAATCGCTGCTGTGACTGTGACACCACCTCAGGTGCTCCACGGAAGTTGGGCTTCAGCATGGACGCTGGGCGCCGTGACAATGGCAGGTCGGAAGTCGAGGAAGTCGTTTTATTCCTCTGCTGACAATATAAATATGTTTCAGAAATATAAATATTGAGATGGCAACAACAATGGCAATGCCTTTATATATATATATGTTCCGGACAATAAACCTTGAGATTGCTGGACTTCAAAAAGTCAAATATGTTTCCACGGAATTCCATGCAGGACTTTAAAAAACTGCTGTGTTGTTTTGGCGTATGTTTTTCGCACACTGCCAGCATACAAAATATTGATATTCCCTTCGTCTAGTTGCATTTGTGCGCTTACCTAAGACGGTGCCAAAATCACCTTTTGAACCATGTCTGAAACATATTCACTGTAATTTGCAGTGTTTCGAGCCATGAACTTAGACCTTGACAAACCCTGGAACCTTGAAAGAACCCGAAAATCACCCAACCTTAAATAAACCTTAAACTCAACCTTACATCAATCATAATCAATCCCAATTAAAGAAACCCTAAGTCTACCCTAAAACAACCCGAAATACCACTAATCATTAATTAAGCAACCTTAAATAAACCCTGAACCAACCGTAAAGAACATCTAAACCAACTTGAAGTAAACCCTAATAATTACAACCTTAAAGAACTCCTAAAGAAACCCCAAAATAACTAATCCAAAAATTAAACTTTGGGCGAATGTCCACCCCGGAGGGCTATAAGTATATGTATATATATATATGTATATATATATATATGTATATATATATATATGTATATATATATATATCATAAGATTATATTACTATATTTATTAGATTATATTACATATTTGTCTGGCTCATTTTGGATGTTTTCCGCCAAGAAACCCTGGCACACCGTGTTTTTTTTGCCGCCACGGAAGCCAGGCCTGACGACGGAAGTCTCATCACTGGACAGCGTTGGAGCCACAGATCACCCAAGCCCAAAGTCGTGAGCAAAGCTGGGAATGATGACTTACCCTCTGGTAATTTAACGTAGCTATTGAAAATGACCATTAATAGTGGATTTTCCCATTAAAAATGGTGATTTTCAATAGCTATGTTAAATTACCAGAGGGTAAAGATACTTGAAAAAATCATATGTTGATCCCAAACTCGTGATGTTTCAAATTTCAAACATTGTCTTTTTTCATCTTTAAGTATCTTTACGTCAGGATGGCAGTGTGTATTTGCCACATTTTAATCATGGCCACATGACCTAAGATCAACCTCAGTGAACAGAGGATTTTGGGATGCCCAGGTCGCCAAGCTGGACCAGTGGATCCTACGAGCCTTGGACAGCCAGTCATTTTGGGGCGAGTTCTTCAGGTGATAAATAACCCAATTAGTGTACCCTCTGGTGAACTAACATAGCAATGGAAAATGGTCATTTATAGTGGATTTTCCCATGAAAAATGGTGATTTTCCATTGCTATGTTAGTTCACCAGAGGGTAAACCTACCAAACATGGGGAGTTTTTGAGCACCCATAAACATGGCAATATTGGGGGGTGGTTGACGACATTGGGTTTACCACACTGTTGAAGTTGATGATTCGCCCTGGGCGTCTGAGGCCACTCTACAACCGCAAGGCCTTCCCCTGGACGCCGCAGCAAGCTACGCCCAAGGCACCACAGAAGGCAGGCATCTGAAGCGCCTTGGAACCCCTCAGGTATGGCCTGGTGAAGATTGGCTGTAGCTGCAAAATTGGAGGCTTAAAGACCCGAACAAACTCCATGAGCAATTTTTTTTTGGGATTCGCTGAAATTGTATGGTTTGATACCAAATTCTGGAAATCAACAATTGTGCGGGTCCTTTGGTACCCACATCAGCGAACAGTGATGGTGAAACCAGCCCAAAACGTTGGGAATTGCAAGAAGCACCTTGTGGCAGCTGCAGCAGTTGTAGGCTGGAAGATGGTTTGTGGGGTGATTCCACAGCTCAAGTGCAGGCCAGACATATATATATATATATATACACCTTTGCAGCTGGGGTGGTGACCCAAGTTATATCTGTGATTTGAGGATCAAATGGTACATTTGAGACTTGAGATTCTGATGATTTTTTGGCAGACTTGTTCAACCTTTGTTTTGTTTCGCATCGGAAAAGTGGGTTTTAGCAGGCGGAAGGTTGAGTGTCAACCACGCCGGTATTTACACAGCAGAGACATGCAGAGACATGCAGAGACATGCAGAGACATGCAGAGACATTCAGAGACAATCTACTCTACTGCTGTTGGGCCCACATTTTAAGCAGGAAACCGTCAGGTTTTGATTTTGATTATTCTTTTGCTGGTTGGTGGTTTCAAACATTTTTTTATTTTCCATAATATATGGGATAATCCCTCCCATTGATTTTCATATTTTTGAGAGGGTAGGGCTCAACCACCAACCAGAACGTATGATCAATCCGAATCCAAATCATCCAATCTTCAGCAATTTTTACCATTCATTCGATGGTTCACATGTGAGCCAAAATTACCCTCTGGTAAACTAACATAACTATGGAAAATCACCTTTTTGTGTGGGTAAATCAACTATAAATGGCAATTTTCAATAGCTATGTTAAATTACCAGAGGGTATTCCAAAATTCGGGGCTGGGAAGTGACTGCATTCGAACTCCAAAGAAGACTTGGTCAAGACACCATCTTCCGTGTAGGATTCGTTCTCGTGCGTCGAACCAACTTATGCCCATGGGCGAAAATGATGGCTGCGTTCTGCGTTGGAGGAACATGGTTGTGGCTTTCCAACAGCAACACATCTTCCAGGACCATCCAGGACCATCCAGGACCATCCAGGACCATCCAGGACCCCTGTCCAGAGCTCTTCGATTTCTCGCTTTTTATTTTATGCTTTTGCTGCTTGGATCCCAACTCCTTTCTTCGGTAACGCGGGTAACGCCACCTTGGCTCTAGTGCTGGGAAAAGCCACCCAGCAAGATCTGAGACTGAACCCTGATGGAAACTCAGCAACAACCAAAAAGACAACTGGGTGAATTGGTTGGCCTCGTTGAGATGGGTATACCAATCAGGATGCTTGCTATACTGCTATACAAGTTGAGATAACATCTATAATCATCTATATACGATTCACTTGCAAGAGGAGGAGCTGTGATTCCCAGATGCCAGCTATAGTTTTCAGTGTTCAGTAGCTGCGGTTGTAACCTCTGAACACCATCCCAAGTTAAAACCCAAGTGGGGCAGAATTTGGCGAAGATAGCTGTAGATCGGCTCTATTGTACGACTTTCTATGACGCCAAGTGACGCCCATGGCATGTGATGCATCGGCATCCATTTGCTGGGGTCCGATTTCCCAGCTGATTGCCAGCACGGCAGAGGATGGCGGAGGTGTGTTTGACGTTTCCTTTGTCAAGCTTGATTTGGTATCTCATCGGGTTATGTAATTCTCTATATATATATATACAGTAAACATATAAGTATATTGTACACACACGCACATATATATATATATGTATATATATATATACATATATACATATATATATATACATATATATATATATATATATATGGTCACCCCCCCCCCTACGACCCCCCAATGTGTCATTTGTATTGTTATTTACAGCATAAAATGCGTATTTTTAGTATTCCATTTTTGTCTTCTTCGTATATAGTCATAACAATACAATATCTTAAGGCACTTTGGGGAAGGCCCCATAGAAACACAATTGACCGCCGACCCAAAATCAAAAAAACATCGGGAAAACAAAAAAAAACAAAAAAACACAAAAAAAAAACAATATTTTCCGACTCCTCTGGGGTCACTCCATGAAAAAAACAAAAAAACCTTGAGAAAACCAAAAAAACCAAAAAAAACAATATTTAGAAACTATCTCGAGGGCCCCCCCCCAAAGAATCGCTAAATATTGTTTTTTTGTTTTTTTTGGTTTTCTCAAGGTTTTTTTTGTTTTTTCATGGAGTGACCCCAGAAGAGTCTGAAAATATTGTTTTTTTTGTTTTTTTTTGTTTTCTCAAGGTTTTTTTGGTTTTTTCATGGAGTGACCCCAGAAGATTATAAGAACATGAAAACTCATAATTTCTCCAATATTTCTTAAATGCAAACACTGTCTATCACTCATGCATCTGCCAATCCGTAACTGAACTGTTTCAAATCCAAACTACTGCCTTGACCTGTCTGTCATTCATGCATCTGTCCAGCTTCAACTCAGCCATTTCAATTCCAAACTGCTTCCTGGATCATCGCATTTGCTTCTTCGTTTTTTTTAAAATTGTTTCATGGAGTGACCCCAGAAGATTATAAGAATATGAAAACTCATAATTTCTCCAATATTTCTTAAATGCAAACACTGTCTGTCACTCATGCATCTGCCAATCCGTAACTGAACTGTTTCAAATCCAAACTACTGCCTTGACCTGTCTGTCATTCATGCATCTGTCCAGCTTCAACTCAGCCATTTCAATTCCAAACTGCTTCCTGGATCATCGCATTTGCTTCTTCGTTTTTTTTTCAATTTTTCCATGGAGTGACCCCAGAAGATTATAAGAATATGAAAACTCATAATTTCTCCAATATTTCCTAAATGCAAACACTGTCTGTCACTCATGCATCTGCCAATCCGTAACTGAACTGTTTCAAATCCAAACTACTGCCTTGACCTGTCTGTCATTCATGCATCTGTCCAGCTTCAACTCAGCCATTTCAATTCCAAACTGCTTCCTGGATCATCGCATTTGCTTCTTCGACATGGCTAACGTGGACGTCAATTTCGTGGAAAGCTTTAGGCATCAACTTGGTGAAAGAGATGGTATCTTGTCTTATGAGGAGGCAATCGTGCAAGTGTCTGGGCAACGGCTGCTCGGACCTCAACAAAAGCCGCTCAAAAGCAACCGGCCGAAGGGTGATGTGTGCCTGATCGACTTACCCATAAGGGACCTACATTCACATGGTGGCAAACTTGAACAGTTTGTGGACATTATCCAAAATCATCCTGTCGAGGGAGAGATTAGCATCAATGCCGACTTCCTTGACAATCTCTTGTACAAGCATGCTGTCCAAGCCAAATACTCAGCTCTTCCCAAACCATTCTGCTTGAAGGCAGAGCCCAAAGTTCCATATAGCATGCAGTTTGTCATCGTGCCGTCCTATCTTCCTCCTGATGAAGATCATGCCTATGTCGACATCTTCAAGCACGTTTACCTTCACAAGAACAATGAATGCTCAGCAGTGAATGCATTTCCTGTTGCTTTGGACTGGGTTCTCAGGTTGGGGCTCTCAGGACAGGTATGAACTACATGCTGGATCGCGTCGGAGGCATGCAGGTGCGATTGTGGACAATTCAGCCCAAGTTCGAAAAGAAGGTGACTTTAGATCAGACTGCTCGTGAGGCAGGGTATCATTTCATTCGAGACCATGGTCCGCGCTCCAACAACAGGAATCAGTTCATGGAGTGGACCGATGAGCAGGTTCATCTTGCCGGTGGCCCCTTGGAAGGATGGCATGAAGGAAAGGTCAAGGAAGCTCTGCACAATTACTATCGCGGGCGGCAAAATGCCAAAACTTTAGAGTATTGGCCCCTGACCTTGAAGAGTTTCAGTGCATGGTTCCTAGATGATGTGATTGTGCACATGCTACCCTCCATGCGACAGCACTCAATCACTTGGATTGGACGCACCCGCGTCGGCAAGTCGGTTGGTTCCAAAACAATCCTCTTCGCACAGTCCCGCTTTGAGATCACTGAAGCAGACCGAACTGACTTGACCCCATCCATCGTGACGGCCAAACATTTGGATTTCTTCAAAGCCGAACCCATTACGAAATTCAAACCAGGTGTCTTCGACGATGGCATGTTGCAGCGCATGGACAGCAGCTTTCTCAAAGCCTTCTTGAATCCATCGGCTTCTTGGCTTCCAATGGTGCTTCCTCCCTTTCACATATGCACTACAAATACTAAGTAAATGAATAGATAACGAAGTAAAATAAATAAATATTCAATATTAAGTCACATGAAAGAAAATAAATTAAAGAAAAAATAAGAAACAAAAAATATAAATCATCAAGTGTTATGGAAACACATCGTGCCTGTGTCTTCTACTTAACAAAACAATGTCAACTGCATGTGGTAGCTGCCTGGGTAACATGTTGCTAGCTGTCCAGTCTGTCGCCGATCTTCACGCTTGCAACTGCTCAGGAAGAGGATGCGACTGTGTGGGCTCGCTATTCATCTGCTCAGTTTGATCAAGGAGCTGGACGTCACGCTTGCAACAATCCGTACAATGATGTGGTCGAGGAACAGCTTTTCCAAGAGATGCAGAAGAAAGGGGCCAGCAGCATTTCTCATAAGGATTTCCTCGACATCATCGCTCCTTCCTTCACCGCCGTCGAAGACAAAGAGGACATGGCCGCAATCCTGGCGCGGACCCATGTCATTCTCCTCACAGAGAACGGAGTATATCACCGCGTCTCCAACACGCAGAAGGTGGATGTGCCATTCATCCAATGGCCTGAGGCCTCCATCAAAGATATCTTGGCTGCAGAGCACAAGCCGATCTTCAAGGCATACAGACAAAATCCTTCTGGACATTCTTTGCCCGAGAACTATCATGCTGATGCCATTTGGTCCCAAGAACTACTTCGCAAGCTATTGAATGGTGAATCAGTGCCACGAACTATTACGATTCGGATGGGCAACCTGTTCTCCGCAGAAGTCTCGGAAGTACAGCAAGCACCACGTTTACTGCCTGCGTCCGAGATGGCCACCAAAGTGAAGAAAGAACGTGAGGTGAACTTCTTCAAAAACCTCAAGCGCTCAAACTTTGGCATCATTGACCTCGACAGCCCCTCGCCTCCAAAGCGGGTCCGTTCGACATCGGCCCCTTCAGTCCCCAACCCAGACGATCTGCCCGGGATGTCCGTGGAGAACGAATTTCCTGAAGTTGAAGAGACAGATGAATTCAAGATTGAACTTGAAAAGATGGTAGAGTTGGAGATGATGGAAGATGCCGATGCCTTTTACAACGCAGAGAAGTGAGTGAGATCTTAGGAGACATTGCTGTGAAATTTTGTTTGATACTCATGCTGCGTGTGTAGAGTAGTCTTGGTCAGACTGTCCCAATCCAGAACAGTAGCAAAGCAAGGGGTGGAAAAAATGTCCCGGCGGCCTGCTTGACACTTGCATCACATCAATATGTATGTGTAAACTACAGAATGAAACATAAGCTTTCTTGCACATACAGAAGCAAACTTGCTCAGATGTGTGTCATGACATTGCCTGTTCGTTGGATTTTCTGCATGGTCTGCCCCACTCTTATTTGGAGAGACATTTCAAATCAAAATTGCCATCCATCCGCTTGTCCTTGCACCGTCCAGCCGTTTGCATTCCTCAAACACTTTCGTGCTCGCTGACAGTTTTGCTTCTGATTGACATCATGCCAAAGAAGATCATGAAGGCTGTGAAGAACAAGCCCCAGGTTTGGCCAGCTCCAAAGAAAGGAAAAGCCCGCACCTTTATGAAGTCCAATGCTCCCATGAAGAAATGCAAGCCTGTCCCGTATGTCCGGCATCCAGGTGTGCAGACCAAGTTTCGAAAGGAAAGGGTTCACTTCGGTGTGTCAGTTCAAGGCCTCATCTCTATGCGTCCTCGGGCTTTGTTCCGTTGTTTGCAGAAAAATGGCATTCTCCTCGACTAGAGAGGCCAGACCTGTCCCCATTGTGGCGCTGGGAGTCTCCAACCTCTGCGCTTCTTCAAAGACAGAAAGGTTTGGGCGCACAAGTGCACAGCCAAGCTTTGCAGAAAATATGTTCAGCCACATGACTTCCATCCCATTTTCCATCATGGACGTGGGGCCAGCTACACTCCCTTGGGGCATCAAGCAGCTGTTCTATGCTGTGCGCTTGCGGGCGTACCAGCAACCTCAGCTCCCGTCATCTTGGGCATGAATCACAAGCCCGTCTCGCGCATCTACAACAACCTTGAGATTGCTTGCAGCCGTCATGTCCTCCAGAAACAGAAGGAAATCCACTTCGGAGCCAGACACAAATGGTGTGATGTTGAGGCGGATGAAGTTGATATCGGCAAGGAAGTTGACTTACAGCACAAAAGGGCCAAGTGGGAGCAGTGGGGTGGCATTGTCGAGCGGGGCCAGCCTAGCACCTTGGTTCTCTTCCGCCTCCCTCCAAAGACTACCGCTGTGCGCTCGCCAGGTCCAGGCCCAATCACCAAGCGAGATTGGAAACCCATTGCTCATAAGTTCTTGGAGAATCGTGATGTGATCTTGCATACTGATGGTGCCAAGACCTACAAGATGAAATTGTCCGGCGTGGTGCATGACAACGTAGTGCACAAGAAGAAGCAGGTGCTCGTGAAGGGAAAGCCTGTGTGGGTGAAGCCTCATTACACCAAAGTGTGGAAACACAAGTTGCCAAATGGCAAAAGCGTAACCGTGAAAGCAGGTACGCAAATCATCGACCGCTTCTGGGGCCATCTGCGCGCAGCTTTGAAACATGCTCCGCGTAAGGTCGGGTCCATTGCGCTTGCCCGTAAAGTTCGAGCAGCGCAGTGGACGTACTGGCACCGTTCCCAGAATTTTTGGGATGCCACTGGGCAGATGTTGCAGGATCTGCGCCTTTGATCAAAGACTGGCTGTGCAAAAAAGATTCACCGCTTTGCATTCTTCGCTGCAGTTGCTCTTCTCCTGTCGTCAAACATGAGTTCATATATCTTACTTCCTTAACACAATGGCATTTGACATGTGTCCACCTTTCTCTTCTGTTTCAAGAAGAATCTTCAAAGCTACAACTTACACTGCGCAATCTTCACCAAAAAATTGCATGCCTGCTGTTTAACCGTTAGTTTCTGCTTTTTAACGTCATAGTCTTTTGACAAAAAACAAAATGTAGTGTAATATAGTGATACGATGTAATACGTATAATTAATCTAATGTACAATAGTTCTCTCTTGCATGCCCCTAGGTTATATGGGGCTGGCGGTGTGTACTGTAGTTTTTTCGCACTAGTCTTCGCGGTCTGGACAAATATCCATAACGCTCGAGCTTTTTGGCTTGTCAGCTGACTTCTCCTGTGCCCTCTTCAATTTCGCCTCGCCTCGACCCAGGATCTGCGCGTTTGATCAAAGACTGGCTATGCAAAAAAGATTCACCGCTTTGCATTCTTCGCTGCAGTTGCTCTTCTCCTGTCGTCAAACATGAGTTCATATATCTTACTTCCTTAACACAATGGCATTTGACATGTGTCCACCTTTCTCTTCTGTTTCAAGAAGAATCTTCAAAGCTACAACTTACACTGCGCAATCTTCACCAAAAAATTGCATGCCTGCTGTTTAACAGTTAGTTTCTGCTTTTTAACGTCATAGTCTTTTGACAAAAAACAAAATGTAGTGTAATATAGTGATACGATGTAATACGTATAATTTGTCTAATGTACAATAGTCCTCTTTGCATGCCCCTAGGTTATATGGGGCTGGCGGTGTGTACTGTAGTTTTTTCGCACTAGTCTTCGCGGTCTGGACAAATATCTATAACGCTCGAGCTTTTTGGCTTGTCAGCTGACTTCTCCTGTGCCCTCTTCAATTTCGCCTCGCCTCGACCCAGGATCTGCGCGTTTGATCAAAGACTGGCTGTGCAAAAAAGATTCACCGCTTTGCATTCTTCGCTGCAGTTGCTCTTCTCCTGTCGTCAAACATGAGTTCATATATCTTACTTCCTTAACACACTGGCATTTGACATGTGTCCACCTTTCTCTTCTGTTTCAAGAAGAATCTTCAAAGCTACAACTTACACTGCGCAATCTTCACCAAAAAATTGCATGCCTGCTGTTTAACCGTTAGTTTCTGCTTTTTAACGTCATAGTCTTTTGACAAAAAACAAAATGTAGTGTAATATAGTGATACGATGTAATACGTATAATTTGTCTAATGTACAATAGTCCTCTTTGCATGCCCCTAGGTTATATGGGGCTGGCGGTGTGTACTGTAGTTTTTTCGCACTAGTCTTCGCGGTCTGGACAAATATCTATAACGCTCGAGCTTTTTGGCTTGTCAGCTGACTTCTCCTGTGCCCTCTTCAATTTCGCCTCGCCTCGACCATGTCCAACCAGCAAGTGAGCAGTGGCTCTATTTCAGAACAGGCGACGGAATGTGTTCCAAACCCTGCCCGGCCTGATGGGAGGGCCATCCATTACGGAGATTTCTCGCGTCAGCGTAGTAGTTCACCTCCATTTGTTGGTGTCCGCAACCCTGCGCGCCCCGGAGGTGGTGCCATAGATTATGGCAGTTTTGGGTGCAAGAGTCGCTCCAGGACTCCTCCACCATCCGATCGCACCAATCGTCTGATTGGAGGATAGAAATTCCCGTAAACAAATGCAATGTAAAATATACTAGTCTTTCAAAATTTAAAAAAAATGTTAGTAGGAAAGTCTCAAGCGCAAAAATTTTCCTATTAGCGATTGGTGCGTAGAGGCAGTTTTCGCAGCAGCATAAGACCTCAGCTTAGCAAAAGTGATGCTGCTGCGGCAGGGTCGACTCGTTGGTGACTTCAACGTGGTTCTGTGCAGACACAAGTCAAGCATAGTGAAGCAGATGGCGGGTTGAGGAGGGTCGTTGGGGGGGGGCTGAGCATATATATATATATACAGTAAACATATAAGTATATTGTACACACACATATATATATATATACATATAATTATATATATATATATATTTATATCATAAATGTCTACTACCCAGCTAACACACATAATTTTGCAGGGTGTCCCACAGAATTAGCCACGTTTCTGTTGTGATTTGAGGAAGTTGTTCACAGTGCTCGCTCGCCAGGCATAGAAAGCCTGGAGCCTTTGGCAGTTCATTTGCATCTTGGATGCAGCTTTGGTCCTCACACTCGGGGGTTGGGACCGTAGGAACTGGGAGTTCCATAGTGCCATAGGGATACCCCCATAGCTGGATGGTTTATAAGAGAAAATCCTATGAAAATGGATGATTTAGGGCTACCCCTATTTTAGGAAACCTCCAACTGGTTTCACCCGGTGTTATCTAATGAATCTACTGTACTGCATCTGATTTGGACGTCAGATATCGTCAGATAGAACCTCAAGGCAACATCGAAAACGGTGCAGAGATAGAACTTATTGGTGCATTTGTCTATGTATCTTAATGGCTTGCAAAAAGAGTCAAGAGTCAACAGACATTGGATCTACTGCCGTCTATGGAGGGTTAAATTGTAGAAATATCCGAAAATCCCCTGGTTGGTTTCAATCGCCGTGTTTGAACTCTCAGTTCTGAAGACAATCTCAGCTTCTTGTATGGGATGACAAACCCCCCTAGTTTGGCTGCATCCACTTCGCACATCTTCGCACCTTTTGGTTGTTTAGTTTGTTTAGTTGGTTTGGGTGGTCCCACCATGTCAGACATATGAACTCATGTTGTGTCTACTACCGATGCTTCATAGAAGTCCCCCTTCCTTCTGCCTGATGGGCTTGATGGCTGACCAGGCTGCAAACAGCACATGGAAAGGTGCCGCGGTTCAGAGCGCAGTTTGCTGAATTAACAAAGCCTGGTTGATTCACTGGGGGGGGCCTACCCATAAAAAGTGCCAATTAATTGATCCTTATTACTATTATTTTGATAATTCTCATTCTGAATCATTTTTCACGATGATCAATTCCTATTGATCATTGAAAGAATCATCAATTATTGATCACTTATGAGAAGAAACATGTTTCCTGTTCACCATCAAACATTATTATTGTTTCCTATTCACCATCAGACAAACCATGCTTACGCAAGGCGCTGAAGGAGGAGGAACTGGAGCTGCGGAGGACGGTCTGGGTTGGAAATGCATGGCCTATAATATCTGCCATCTACATATGATACATGATTATTGTAATGTAATGGCAACATATATAAATGTTACATATAATGTACTTGATGATTATATGATATTATATGTAATTATACAGGGAGGGAACTGTGGCTTTGGTTTCTACATGGTTTTACTCTCCGATGATGTATAAACACAGATTGTGGAACCATGCGTTTCCTCCATAGTTTTGTTGAATTTGCATTGACCTAATTTTTGGTTGGTCAAACTTCCTCAGCACGGTATTTTGGATGGGGCAATTTAGGTGGCCAACCTTCCTTTCATCCTGGCGTCGTTGCAACATCTTTTGCCGGTCGAGCTTGCTGCATCAGATGCATCAATAATTCCAACACCATGATGACTACATATGACTAGGATTCTAAATTCTCACTATCAGAATCTATCAGATACTTATCATGATCACATGAATTTATAATTTTGTGAAGTATCTTGGTTCCCTTTTTGGTGGCTGAATCAGGACTGACACCGAGCTACGTTTGGAGAACAGCCACCTCAAGACTCAGCCCGGAGCACAGGATGGATCCAGTTGCCGCATGAAGGGGACCACAGAATATATGATATGTAGAATTATATACCTATACCTATACATTATATTATATATATGGGACTACAGAATACATATATATATATAACATATATGTGAATGTTCCATTTGCCAGCGAAATTTGTTTGGCTGACTTCATGCTCAGTCAGATCCCCAACCAACAAATGCCGATGGCAAAAATCGCTGAGATTTTCTGACATCAAGACACCATTTGATTTGAACAATATAGATCATGTAAGAGATCAAAAAACACTTTACTTATATCCACATGCAAAATATGCATACATATACATACATATACATACCTATACATACATATATACATATGGAGGTTTCCAAAGATGGGGCCAAAAACCCTAAACTATCCACTTTTTTTCCGGGTAGCAAATGAGGCTTCACGAGGTCGTCCAGCAAATGGTGCACAGGCCGGCGTAGAGACATTGTTGATGTGTATATTTTATTGTATATGTACTAATATGTACTAATATATCATTATCATATATATATATAGTAAATCATATATGTACATTGTAGTAATCCCCTTAAAAAGATGGAAAAAATGACACTATGTTCGTGGGATTGCATTTTCTATCTGTTTTGGGTTGATATATGGGTGAATGACCAAGCTGGGAATAGATCAAGCCCCAAATGTGTGATAGTTTGATTCAAGGATGACCAACATCTAAGGTTTTCCAGGGCCCTGATTTTCAGTGTATGGCCATAGTTGATACAATGTCTACCTAAAGTGAGTGGGCAAAGGGCACTGTAGAAATGGGGTGTCCGCGTCTCAAGTAAAGGATTCTTCGAATATTTCATACCACCAAAAAGATTTCTGGCAATTTTCATAGAATTGGATGATGGGAAAATTTACAGGAAACCCTTATATTTGATGGTAAAAACCATGGTTTCCTGTAGATTTTCCCTTAAACCAATCCATTGATTTTTTTCTGGGAGAAATGGGCAGGCCTCCCAAAACACTTGAGTCACTTGGGCATGGAAGCCACAAAGAATTGGAATCACACCACTGGGGAGATCAGCAGCAGGTCTGTTTGGCTATAGAGCTATAGAGGTTGCCAGTCTACCAAACAGAAAGTGCGCGTAGATATATATATATATACACACACATACAGACACACACACACACATATATATATATATACACACATGCCATACACACATATATATATATACAGTACATATATATATATATATATGTATATGGCATATCCACCTGGGCAATACCTGGAGTTCTAGCAACTATCTGTTGGTATGGCTATTGTTTTTGAGTGTCTGACCACTGCACGAAAAAATCATTGGATCGTGCGCCATAAGATGAAATTTAGTTGTGGACAACGCGTACTCTCATTGTTTTTTCTTAATCAATATCATTTGAGTCATCTGTGTGAAGATCATATCAAGTGACACTGCTTGGTAAAGATTTCACATATTTTCTAATGGAACACATGACAAACATCTCCGAAGAATTTTGGTGCTACGGTTTCCCGTGAAATTTCGCATCAAACTTAAGTGACTCTCAGACAACCCACCAAGCATCCGATCTTGCTGCACTTATGGGTAGTTGAACCACCTTAGATGTCAAGAAGTGATCCCAGCATAGATAACCTCGTAGACTGTCTCAGTCGCCAGCTTCGTAGCTTCGCGAGGAAAGACATCCACATGGATTTCAGGAGCATTCGGCGATACGGATCCCGTGGTAGCGGATGTTTTACCAATTTGAGACCTTTTTTGAGCGGAGTTTTGTATTTCATCACATCCCGTAGACATCCCATATAATCAGACAATTATATATATATATAATTATATATATAATTACATAATTATATAATTACATAATATATATATATACATAATTATGTATATATACACATAATTATATATATATATAATCACATATAATCCATATACAACCCATTTCTGCTCAAGTGTCACAGCGCTTCGTCACGACACATCCGGCAGGAAGCCGTTTTGGCTCACCCTGCTGGCCCGTGATCCAAGAGCCGCAGAGCCACCAGTTATGGACCAGTTATGGGTTCATTAAAAAAATCAAATCATGGGACTTTCAAAGAAAATGCCCATGGATTTATAGGATGCCCAACTTTTAAATTACCAAGTCATAGGTTAAAAAACATCCCATGGATTTATAGGAACTTATGTGATTTTCAATATTTTCAACACATCCAATTTGGAGAATCCACTACGGTGGGACGAGCCTTTCAACAACGCTTGGACGTTTGATGCGAGTTTTCGCCTGGATGTTTTGCGATCTACTTGGTGGCGAACTAGCCTGGCGAGCTACGTAAGTAGGTGAGTTCACCCCTGTAAGTGGATTAACCATGATTAACCCATATTACCCTCTGGTTATTTAACATAGCCATGGAAAATGGCCCATTTATAGATGGTTTACTTATTAAAAATGGTAATTTCCCATGGCTATATTAGATAACCAGATGGTAACCCTATGTTCACACTGATTGACAGTAGCAAAGGTATTTCTAGCACATGGATGGTTCCTAGGGATGCCAAGCAGTTGGTTCAGCCTGATTCCAAAGACCTTAAGGTGGCGGCAGTGATGGCTGGAATCTGGGTGACCATTTACTTCTTCCATTTGGTGGCCCTTCATCAGCACTGGACGCGGGAGGGCTGCTGGCTGCCACATGTTTGTTTCAAGAGAACAGAAACAATACTGTGTGAGCACCACACATCAATGGTGAAGTTGTTCGGCAATGCATCAGAATCAGTGACCGTAACTCTACTCCGCCTGAAAAAAGGCCCCGGATCCGTTGACTAATGCTGGGCGACCCCCCAGCATTTGCAAAAGGGTGGCCCTGGCACAATTACCCAAGAAACATCTATCTAATTGCCATTTTCGGCACGTATGTTACGTCTCTGCAAATCTGAAAGTCTCTGACGTTCTCGAATCGGTTGTACACATAACATCACATAACTCTTCAGGCCACCAGTTGAATGGTCCAGAGCTGATGTCTGGCAGCCCTTGCATATAGCCTGTTCGTGGAAAAAAGGATTTTAGAATCAGAATCTGAACAACCTGGCCTTGTTCAGGAAACTGTGGTCGCACCTTCAATCCTGTAGATCCCTTGAATCCATACACAAGGCCGAAACTTTGCCAACTGAGTAACTTGCGGAGGAAGGACATCTTGCATCAACATCGATCCCAGGTTAACCATCAAAGAGATATTGGCAGTTTCGCCTGAAAAAAGGCCAACACCGACCGCATTTCGTTACAAGTGATGAAAGGTCGAAACGTGACTGCATGCCTGAATTTATAAATATCATTTGGGAATCCAACTTGGCAATGGAACTCCCCACATGAAACTAGGCACATAGATTCTTAGAATCTTAGAATCTTTGAGTATGAGAGGGTATGATGAGTATGATGTGTTAACTCCAAAACCTCACGCCATCATCACTGTAGCTCCGAGGCGTTTTTTGCACATCAAAATTCCATCCGGAATGCGAACCGACGAAGAGCAAGCTGGGAAGGTGCTTGAAGTTCGGGTGGTCAAACTGATTAAGCCACGAAAAAGGGTGGTAGAAGCAAACGTTTGGGCATGATCATCATGATGATGGGGCTGAAACCCAAACAATCAATGGAGATTGCCTGAGATTGCCCTCGGGATGATTTGCCCTCGGGATGTCTTTTGGTGCTTGGTTTTGGCTTTCTGCGAATCATCCCTAGGATCATGATCCAAAAAATGGCGATATGCCAAGTGGGGTCTCGATGGGTTGATGTCCAAAGGGCGTCCACCGTAACTTGTCTTCGAGATGGGGGGAGAAATTGGGAGCGAGTATTTGGTGGGAATATCTGCCCACAACCATGTGATTGTGCTGGATTACAATTCCATAACGGACAATGGATTTTTTACAGGAAGAGATTTAGCTGTATAACAGAAATGGTGATGTGTCACTCAAACTATAGACCATGTGCGGTTAAAAAACCACCAATTTCAGACGTTCCAAGTTTTTCTAAATCAAAGAACATAATGACAATATGCCACTCATTAATAGATGGCTTGGAAAGCAACATAACCAATACTGCAACTGTCATGATGAACATGAACATTCAGCCAAGAGATGCGCACTTCCCAAGGGAAATTGGACAATGAAACCAACGGAACTTCCCCTGCTCATCCAACTGCTACCACTCGGCCAGTAAAAGAGACAGTGCCCAACTTCGAGCAATGCAGACAAGAGATGCGAGAGAGGTGCGGCGTTAACGGAATCTCATGGACCGTCATGGACCAATGGAGATGGAAGGTTTGGGAATCTAAACCACTGGGATGGGGCCCACAGATTTCTGTGATTTCTGTACTTCTATGAACCAATTTTTCGATTTTCTGACTGTTTTTAGTAATACATCAACACAATTCAATTAACCCAGTGTTTGGGTACATACACAGAGATTTTAATATATCCGAAATTTACAAACACACTCCGCTGAAGATCTTATGAACATGTCCAGGATGGCCTCTGAAACTGCCTTCGATGGCAGTTTCATGACACGATTGTACTGCACTTTCCACTAGTTTCCAGGTTAGCAATGCTGAAGTGAATATGAATCTGCAAATATGAGGTTTGATACTTGTGCCTTGACGTAATGATAGCTCTACAGTATCTATGCCAATCTATGCCTTCCTGTCGAAACTCATATCAATGAAAGCTGGGATGTTGGTGTTTTTCTATCACAGCTGATATTCTACAGAAACCGTAGAAACACCTAAGCATAGGATCAGCGGAGGGTGTGTCCATAATATATGTATACATAGATATGTACATTATATATATATATCTATATAAACGTATATATATATAGTTAATTATTGTTATATATTTCCTCAACACACATGTATATATATATATATAAACAATAGTAATATATATATAATATAGAGTACGGCCATAGGCTGTGTATATATATGTTATGTAATTTACATATAATACTACATATATATATGATTATATGATGTTATATGTATAATATACACATAATGACTATCATGACATGATTTTGTCAGAGATCCTCCACGAGATCCAACTGGGCCAATTCCTCGCCGCAGGTTTGCCTTTGGCTTGAGGCGTGTCACAGTTCCAGCCTCGGGGAATGAGGAATCCGCTATAAACGGAGGGACTTACGTATCAGCAGAAGGGAAATCGTCGAACTAATGGGGAATCTATAGGTAATAATGGTAATAGTCATATCCTTTGGTACTTTAACATAGCTGTGGAAAATAGCCCATGTAGATGATTCGCCGTTGAAACATGATAAATTTTCATAGCAACGTGTTAAATTACCAGTGATGGCCTAAGTTTTTCTTTATTTCTGCCCAACAATGGGTAGTTTTGCAGTAGACATGAATCATTCGTTTCCTTTAAAGATGAACCAATTTTCAATCCATCCAGTGAATGATTCAGAATTAGAGATCATTGTTTCCTTTAAACTTTAAACCCTTTAAAAGTCTAATTCTGAACATCTTGAAAGGGATTGATTACTAGATTTAAATCCTTGGATGGATAATTCAGATTTAGTAAACAAATCTCTAAATCTTCAAAAAGTCGAGGCGGGCGTTGCTATGCGTTGCTGATGGGATGGTCAGAGTTTCAATTGCCATGGGAAAGGCCGCCTTGGAAAATCTACACATGGTGGCTGAACACCACATCTATGTTAATGAATGCTGGAAGGTAAAGATGGTAAATTTTGACATTCATTTTCAGAAAAAAATCGACACAGAGATTGTTATTCACGTCGCTTCGCGACGGCAACCGCCCGCACCGCATCGTTGGGCTCACACAGCAGATAGATAGATAGAGAGATATATCTATATATATAAAGATCATATATGTACATATCGAGTGAACGGTCCACACTGTTAATGATGTCAGCCATTGTTCTCTTCTACTGCCATTGTTCTCTTCTGTTGCCGTCGCTCCGCGACAAGAACCCCTGTGCGGCCGCCACGGTTTGAACGATGTTGTTCTCACACCTTCGCGACCGCTCGTAACTGCCAATGATGTCGGCCATTGAGACCAAAAACATCCGAAAGTACTGATTGTCGGAAAAAAAATCGCGAAGAATTTGATAGCCATGTATAGCGGACCAACGCAATTCAAAAAATAACGAAAAACATGAAAAAACGGCGAAATTGCTGTTATTTACAGTGTTTTTGCGCGGTGAGAAGCAGAAACCACTGCAAATACCATGGTTTTTGAGGGTCAGGTGGCCAAAAACACTGTAATTTACAGTGTTTTTTTTAACCAACGTCAAAAAACACTGGTATTTACGATGTTTTCATTCACACCGTAACATAAAACAGCGTAATTTACGAGGTTTTTGGAAGTTTTGAAGCTAGCCGTCAAGCATGCAGAAAACAGAAAAACACTGTAAAAACCAGTGTTTCTGCTATCACAAAACGACGAAAATCAGTCCGAAAACGGGTCCAAAAACGGGTCCAAAAACTCAAAAATCCGCCTCTGGGCCAGGCCACCTGCAGAACCGCAAAAAAAGATGTTGCAAACCAAAAAATTGAGGTCAAAAAGTTGAAAAACACGGGGTTTTTTCACTTTTCGCTTGCCGATTTTGGACGGGCGCGGCGCGTTCACGAACAGGTGTCTTCCGTACTGTTTTTTACAGTGTTTTTTGAAGGCGAGCCACGACCTATCAAAAACAGGAGGTTTTGGCCGAAAAATGCCCCCCCCCCCAGGTAAACCTGTAACCTTTTACGAGTGCCATCCGGACGATCACGCCCCAGCACCTTCGGTGCGGGCGGATTTTGATACTAGTTGAGTCATGCAATCAACTGAGGTTACTCGAATTATGCTACTGGTACTCTTGGCCACAGCAAGTCTCTTGGACGTGCAATGGGCAATGCAATGGACTGCAGAGTTAAATGCCGTTGCGACAACCTTCTTGATAGACTCTAGATGCGTTTTTTCATAGCTGTGTGAAGGGGCGTCATGGCGACAGCCAGCACAAGCCAGCGGAATGTGGTTGTGATGTACATAAAGATAGACCGCATGAATAAATTAAGCACAGTCAGAAGCACAGTCTGGCAAAAAGACTCAGAGGTTGCATAAGCTACTTTGACGGCCATATCCCAAGAATTCCCAAGTTATTTATGGCTACTAGCCAAGTGTTTGGTAATGTGATCAACCCAGTAATCAACCTTACTTATGTTTTACTCTTGGGTTAGCTGCATCATTCCGCACGATATGCAGCTCCGCATGCTCCGTACATCTCCGTACGGTCCGTTTTGAGGTGGCAGCTATTTTGCTTCCCGGGGCTACTTCAAGCCCTTGGAAGAGAAGCGCCGTGGCCAAGATGGGATCTGTTAATATCTGTTAATCAGCGGTACCCAACTATAGGGATACTGCGGAACTATTAAACTATTACTCCGTGGTAATTTAACGCAATGAAGCTATGGAAAAAACATCATTTTCAATAGGTAAATCGTCACACATCGTCTATAAATGGGCCATTTTCCATAGCTATGTTATATAAATAACCAGAGGGTAGCAGCCAAAAAAACATAGACATCACCAGGAAAAATTGGAGGACCAGCGGCAAAAAAAAACAAATCTCAGCTTCCCTGCAGCCCCGGCAAGGATCGTGCCCTATCTGTACCTGGTGCTGGTGGCGGTTCTTGTGGGTCAGGCCGGGTCGAAGATTGGCCGGTGAAATTGTGGGAACTATGGAAACATGAGACCTTATCAAGTGGGTGTGTCTGAAAATAGTGTACCCCTAAACCCAATGGTTTTGCTGATCATTATCCCTATTAAATGGCTATTTGTTTGGGAATATACCCTATTTTCAGACAAACCCAAGTAGTGCAGTGAAGCGCCACACCTTTCTTGAGTATTTTCATTCAAGTTGCTAGGAAGCATGGCAGCTGATGGCGCAGCCAATGGCGGTTGTTGCGGACTGTCCATGGTATCTGTCAATAAACCAAGCGTTGATATCTTTTTTTACCACGACAGGAGGCTCCGTTGTCCCGTTGCCTGTCAGTTGAGTGATCCAATGGACTTTCAGAAATCTTTTGGATAGATTGAACCCCCCCAACTGACCAGGAACAGTTGCTGAAATCACCATGGTGGAATTACCTTCCATCTGGTCAATGGCTTATATCATCTTATATCATAGTTTTTTGTGGTAAGAAAACATCTTTTGTTGGTTACAAAATGTTATAGAATCCCCGGGTTTCTCTAAATCCCAGTTTTGACATGTTTTGACTTGTGGATGCATAGGCAGTGATACGAGAGGTGGGAGCAGTGAGTCATCTTGGGTGTTGCCAGGTCTTGGGATATCCTTTCAAAATCAGGAACCTAAAAAATCCTAAAACTGGTGGATAACGACTTGACACGCTTTGTCTTGTGGCAACAGATAGTCATTGGATTTAGGTTATAAATGGTTATAATATATTCCATTCATTTCCATTCCTACTTTGGATGATGGTCCCCGATGCATTTTGGAGGTCGACCGCACCCAAACAAATCCAGACCTTTTTGGACGGGAAGCTTCGGGAAGCTTCAAAGGGGGTTCTGATGGCAAATTCTATTATCTTTTATGTATGATATCCGACTCAATTAAGAATGATACATATCTGATGGATTCTGATATCATACATATCATTTCACATCTTTTATGTATGATATGATCGATTTAAAATGTATTCTCTGCATCCGTTTCTGAGGCACCCAAGTCCTATAAAAATCACCAAGTTGTGTAGTGAATATCCAACTCAACAGACAGTGACGATGATGAACCCCAGCCATTGAGGTGTTCAAACTTGGGATTTCTAAAAGTCAGCATGATTTTCTTGCCGCATCCAGGGCCAATTATTACTAGGGAGAAAGGATTCCGTTGTGTTTTCGTTGACAGGCCTGGACCCAGCCCCAGGTCTGGAACAGAGCCACCACACTTTTCGGTCCAATGGTGGAGGCAGGGCTCATGGAGCTTATGGATGACCGATGCTTGGGATGATTGGAGAAGATTGACCATGGGAATGATAGGACATCACCATGACGAGGCAGACATCAACACATTAACTTTCTTTTTTTGAAGATGTGTCATTGCCAGCTCAGATTTTTTTTTATTCGCGACTTCCATATTTAACGTAGTTAGATGTAGTTAGTGCACCATAAATTCTTGTATATATAGTCAACATGTTTAATTCACACATAGAATATAACAAATGGTTTTAAATAAAAACGAACCCTACACAAAGAATATTTTGGATGTTCATTTATGATATTAAGTGACACCGATACATTGATGTACTCATGCGGTAGCACAGTAGAGTACCATAGATTGGTGGGGAAGCCAAACAAACCAGGGATGGGGATAGAGAGAGAGAGAGGAGGCTTGGAGTCATGGTATTTATTGGGATATATGGTCGGATGTAGCTATTTATTCCTTAAGATAACATACTAATTACCAACATATTCTATGTGTACCCCCGGATTTGGATATTCCAAGTGCATTCTGAAATGTTCAAATAAAGTAAGCTGAAAATTGATTAAATTCATATTCTAAAAAACCTTAATTAATTTTTCATAATCTAACTGCTTTTCCGCCACTACCAGAGTGTAGCTCCCATTGCATGATTTACCTGGCAGACCATGTACAAATTCCACAGCGGTATCCAGGCAGGGATGCTCTGTTTGGACCACCCAAAAGTCGACATTTCAGCTTGGTGAAGTGTCAAACTTTACCCACAAGGTTGACTTGTAGCATTGATACCAACAGTCTTGAAGGGGAAATTTAGGACATAATTTTGGCACATGGATATGGGTAAATACCTCCAGTAGGCTGGTGGATAGGCCATTGGGCACTGAACTGCCTTGTGACCAGGCCAGGCTGTGGATAGAGATACATACCCCTTTTTTGGGGCTTTGATGTCGACCTTATCCCATATTTCTGCAGAACGAAGGCGTCATGGGGTGGTTTTTGCTTTAAAGTTCCCTCAAGAATACCGATATTGACAATGCTTCATCAGGATGTACGAAAGTAGGTGTCAAACCTAGGGCGTTGGAGCAAAAAAAAATGTAAAGGCTTTCGAAAATCTCTGGTATCCACAGACTTTTGTGACAGAATGCAACCTTTCATTTTTTGGCTTGCAAAGAACTCCAAGCCATTTGCCCACCATAGTCCGCTGCCAGAAAGTTTTCGCCGGTGCCACAGATATTCGACCCACTAGGAGTTGCGACTTGCCCGACTTGCCAAAAAAAACGTATCTACATTTGTTGAGAACAGATACGTATCTACAACGTACAGTATCTATTGTTTTTTTAAAACACATATCTACATAATATATACATAATATACACATAATATATACATATCTACATACTGGTGGGTGGCTTCAAATTTTGGGATCATGATCCCCCCGTGACTAATCTCCTTCAGTTGCGTCGATCGTCAACGGTGACTACCGCTTTCGACTGTCGAAGGTAGTGGCAGATAGTGGCAGTGGCAGATGGCAAAAAAGAAACGTTGGTTTTTTAAGCAATCATAAGCGACTTACCATCGAACAACTGGTTTAACATTTAGATACATTTCGTCTACATGCAGCCTAATAATAGGTAGTGGTCTCTAGATGACCTTAGGCACTTTGTCTGGAACTTGACCTTTTTAAAACTTTTTCAGCTGCATCATTCCAACGAACACATTCGGACTCAACGACTCCTTCTAGCTGCCGGGCATGGGCCAGCGAGCCTCCAAGAGGGATGGCAGGTCGGAAACGGTCGTGGCGTTTTCCGAAAACCCAGGGGGGTAGATTACCCGGCAGAGTTGGGAATGAAAAGCTACAACAATGGGGGCCAAGATCTACCAGACTAGATAGATGATGATAGATGTAATACCATTTCGGTACTAAACAGACTCCATGTGCTATGAAGTACAAAACTACACCCAACCGTTTTTTTTTCATTATCATGAGGAAAGGGAATTAAATTACTAAATTTGCCAACAAAGCCCTGGAGAATATATATATATAATCAGAATTTAATCAGCAGAAATATGAGGTTTCAAACCAGACAGTTTTATGGGATGAAAAAAGGGGATGCGGAAAAAAAAAGTGGTGCCCAGAAAATTCGATGGTCAAGTACTTTTTAGACACTAGTGATATCTAGTGGTTCCATGTGGTTCCCGTGGCAGATTTTTCTGGGACTCTCCATGGATTCCACCAAAAAAAATCTTCCGGAATCTATTCCGAATGGCGTCTCGATGGTCAAGGAATTGACGAGCGGCTCTATTATTGGAACACGGAAGAACCATCTATATCCGTTTATATCCATTTTACATCATTATCTACATATATATATATATACACATCATTCTACATGTACATATATATATATATACACACATCATTATACATGTATAAAATAGATTATAATAGAATAACCATTGCTTCATGATGCTTTCCTGAATGGCTGGTTTTGAGGCGCAGCATCGCCACACCTGGGAGCTCCTTCCTCAACGGTGGGGCCGCCCGCCTGGAGAACAAGGCCGGCGTGGTGGGTTCAACCAATGAACCGTTTACCATCCCCCAAATCAGCATAAAAAGGTGGTACCCTGGTATAAAGCATTCCCAGTCATGGCTGGTTTATGACATTGTTTTACTCACATTAATTGAGAGTTTCTGAGATTTCGAGGAAGGAATTCGCGAGCCGCGAGTCCGCGAGTCGTGCCAGGCTGAGGAGCCAACCACTCCATCCATCAAGGCGCCCGCGGAGTTGTTGGACGAGAGGAACAATGATGAACCAAGAAACCATCAATGATTGGCGGCTCTCAAACATTCTAAAACACAGCCATATAAGGTAGTAAATTTTGTGACCTTTATAATACCTTGTCCAAAGTTTGGTCTTGATGAATCTGCCAATTTCTTGTGACACCTTGTGGGAAAAGATACAGAGTATTTGTTGATGCGCCAAGCATCCATGTTGAGTGGGTCTCCAACTTTCTTGCCAGCTGGTTGATCAAGCCAACTCATGCGACTAGTTGGTAGTTGCGCATGACCAGGAATTTGACCAAGCCGTGTTGAGTTTTTGTTGCTTGCTATGGCAAGTAGGTTTAGGCGGTTTAGGTCCTTTCTTTTAAACACGCTTTTTTTTTGCAAGTTGAAGATGGTTGCTATCTTCATATTTGTTTGAAATTTGCGATAACGCCGGCCCTTCGTATTCCCAAACTGGACTCCATTGTTGTTGCTTTTGGCATGTACCCCACTGGCACGGTTTAGCGGCTGCAGGTACAGTACCCCTTCCGTTGTGAGGATCGCAGTAAGATCCCAGACGAGCTGCTAGAAGGACATCAGCCCTGGGTCCAGAACTCTGATGCCTCAGGGGTAATGAAGCAAGTGTGTATATATCTGGTTGGTGGTTTGGACCATTTTTTTTCCATATATTGGGAATAATCATCCCAACTGACTTTCATATTTTTCAGAGGGGTTGAAACCACCAACCAGATATGAATTCTATGGTATGATATAATATGATATGGCATGATATACAATAGACAAATATATTATATGATGTGTGATACATGTTTACACATATCATACCATACCAGAGTTTCATGGTGATTATATGATATACGATTAATTAAACAATATGATATGATATTAAAACATGATACATATAAAATATTATATATATATGATTTATATCATAAGATATGTTGTACATGTTGTACACTTTAAGAACCGCACTGGTCGCATAGCTCGGCAGGGAGCAGGACCCAGACATCGCGGAATTTTCCCGCAGGATCTTCCGGTTTCGACGGAAAACTCTTCAGGTGATTTTCCATGGCTTTGAATCAATAAATGGAGGTTTCCTAAAATGGTGGTACCCCGAGCTTGCTGGATGGTTTATTTCATGGAAAATCCTACTAAAATAAATAGATGATAACTGGGGGTACCCCTATTTTGAAAACCACCAAATGATGGTGAATAAGGATTCAAAAGCAGACTCCAGAGTTGTTTGTTAATCTTTTTTTTATGATCTTTTGTTCCTATACACTGCTGCCGCCACTCACTGCTTCGCAGACTTTTTCTGAGCATTGCATCCAGAGAATCATCTATTTTTCACCACTAACTGCAAAGTGTCTGGCCATTTTTAGGAGTCAAACGTTGTTGATTTATGACAACAATGGTGCACACATTTTTTTCGGATCCAACATCGCCGGGGATCAGCAGGACCATTTGAAGACTTCAGCATTTCGGAGGATGTCTATGTGACTTGCTCGGAGCACCATTTGCTGCTGAGCGAAAAACCCGTTTCTGATACTCTTATATATGTGGTAAGCCCCAAAAAAGCTATCATTTGGGGATAGTTTTCACAAGCCATTATGGTCATGTTGGGGATGGTCTCTTATGATATCTTATAATATCTTATGTATAGTATACCAAATCCCGATAGTTATCCCAATCCCAATCATTATCCCATCTTTACCCATCTATTTTTGTACCACGTTTCCAACTCACACTCTTCGGCCTTGCATTCTCGGTGCTTTCCAAACCACCAACCAAAGCTTTTATTCATGGTTTTGAATCAGCACTTACATAATTGAACATGATTGAATCATATAGGCTTTTGCAAGAAATCGTCTGGATCAGGAGTTAGGCGTCTCTGCACTATCCCATCATGTCCCATCTCACCTTGCAGGCGACGTTTTATTTACTGGCACGCAATGCCACACCTGATATGTACAGCATCTCACCCTTCAAGAACCCAGATGTCTCTCAGCTGCACGGATAAGGTAAGAACTATTGTTTTTTCATGGTCGGATCGCTAAAACATTGCAGCAGTTTGGATGGCCATGGATGGGCACTGCTGCAACCAGGTTCGAATCGCCTGGCTCTACTTGCTATTTATTGCTGGTTCCCAGATCTTCGTGATCTTGGCGATCACAGTGCCTCGGATTGGTAAAAAAAAATCGCGCATAAAAAAAACCTGTTAAGTACATCATAGTACATCCAAGTTGGTTGTTCAGTCTAGGCCTGTTAAACAAAAACGAGTCTTGCGGGCACCAAAAAAGAGTTGGTCAGCTGGAAGTGTTTCCCCTTTAAGGTGCTCTATCCGCCTTCAGCCACTCGTCAGAAACATCAGACCTGCAGGAAAGTTTGGGAAAAACATCTATGGCTGACATGTGGAGGTTTCCATAGGTTTCCTAAGTCATCCATTTTTGGGGGATTTTCCATGAAATAAACATAAATAAACCATCCAGCTCTTGGGGCAACCCCAATTTATAACCATTTATGGAAACTCCCATGTAGTGAAATCTGTTGCTTTTTTTCGCCTTTGATGATATCCGATCAGTGGCGCCCTGTTGTACCTGTGACTGGAGCTTGCCAACAGTCTGTGAGGGTCCTTTTGTAACATATCTAGAATATATATATATATATGAATAAAAAAATATATATATATAGTTAAACAAAAGTGTTTGTATTGGTTGATATATGACATATATATATATATATAATATCATACATATATATATATATATACATACATATCTATAGATATACATATAGATATGTGCATGTATGCATGTCTGTATGTATGTCCACATTACAAGTGACTGCAATTCAATCCATCGGATACTTGGAGGTTGTTTCTGGTTGCTCTGCCGCATTCGTGCCTTCTCCTCTTCCATAACAGAGGTGCAGAACAGTACCACTTGGATCGACTGTGGCAACAGCACAGCAGTGGCGGCGTTGCATCAGAAAGGCGACATTGTCACATATTGCAACATGAGGAGGTAAGGATCAACAGAAATCCCCGTTCTTAAAAGGAATCCATATCTTTTTTGCAGTGGGGAATATCACTTTAGTCATTTTTCAGCTGGAAATGATCCTCACCAGCCCAGATCAACGGTGTATAGCCGGCTCTGCCCATCTGACCTGCACTGATTCACCAGTTTTTGGGCTCATTTCCCCACTTCTGCAGCTGCAGACCAGCATTTTTGCTGGAGCTGGATCACCATTTTAGCATGTTTTAGCCGCTTGATACCACCACGCTTGTGGGTGAAAGTCAAAATCCAAATTTTGCTTTAGATTACGCATGATTAGATACAGATCTAAAACCATTTGAAACCTTGCTTTTCCAGGCCTGGTAGTTAGCATAGCCATGGGCAAATGACGATTTTGTAGATGGTTTACCCAGTTGGCCATTGCTATTTTCCATCATTTTCCATGGCGTTGGAGTTCCAGAGGGTCTATTCCCAAGTTTCATTGGCTAAATCCGCATGAATCACCATAAAATATCATAAAATCCCATGAAATCTTCATTAAAACATAGCAAAAAAAAACCAAACAATGAGTGAAATCAGCTGTTGGCAGGTCTTCTCTCCTTTCCCTCGCGTGAGTCCTGCGAGTCCGCTGCGTCGCCGGCGTTGCTCAGCAAACGATGTGAAAATTGGTGAAAACCACCCAATTTATGAAATTTATGGCATGTCAATCTGAATATATGTACCCCAGATTTGGCATTTTGTTACGGAAACATCATGGCTTGCTTTCAATTTCGGGTTATTTTTGCTCAATGACCAGTCTCTTGTAAGTTAGTACACCACTTTTGGACGAAGACACATGATATATATATATATAATAATGTATATATATATATGTATATATATATACATATATATATAATAATGTATATATATATATATATATACATGCCATTTTCATTCTTTCTGATCACCTGTATTGTTGCAGAAATTTTGGCTGATATTCCCTATGTGGGCCCGGATTCTCGAGCCATTTCTTGTGGCTCTTTCAACTTCAGTGGCCTACCGAAGCCCCACTGGTGCTGAGTGGATCTTGTTCGGCTTGGTGTGTTACGTATCTGGAATTATCACTGGCGCCTTCCTCACTGCATTGATTTGTAGCCAACGGCTGCGGCATCTTCTTGGTGTGTTGCTCCTTGAAGGCTCCAGATCCACTGAGTGGCCAGTGCGTGAGGACCGACTTGCAGGATATCGCCGCCAGGCATAGCAATTTTTCCATTCACTTCACACCTGAGTTGAGAGCCAGAGCTAGAACCAGCATTCTCTCAGTTTTCGCTGCTCATGTTCAAGCCGCTAACTGCTAGAAAGGCCAACAACTTGCGACTTGCCACAGTTGAGTCAGAGTGGGAGTGGCTTCTGTTTCAGACGCCTGACAGACAGGCTGCGGCTGTTCCAGTTCTTAGAAGGACTGGTGGGCTTCTCCTATGCTTGCCAGATGGAGCAATCAGCGCCGAGGAGGAGGCCAACAACCAACTTGGAGATCTCATCGCAGAGTTGGGGCCTGTCAAACGGACCTATGTATGCTGCCAAGGTCATGGGGGAGAGCCGACACTAGCTGTTGTCTTCATCGACGTGCAAGAATCCAACTATGGTGTCTTGCGCTATGCTACCCGGAAACGTGTGGCATGGGAGGAAGGAACGATCCAATTCGTCGAGGGCGAAGAAGTTGCCAGGCCAGATGGCCCACAGATCATCGCTGCTGCTCAAGCTTGGGTAGAAGGCGAAGATGGACCCACGCCAGAAGAGTACCTCTCTGCCGTCGAGGGGGCGCCTCCTTCCGTACCAATGCAAATGCCACCTGGCATGGACATGGTGCTGGCTCAGCTTTCTTCCTTGGCAGATGCAGTCAGCGCTCTGCAATCCAATGTCAAAGGTTTGCAAGAGGAACGCCATTCATCATCTCTGGCAGTTGGGGCTCGTGCAAAAGCAGCTTCAAGTGTCAAACCCCATGCAGACCCCTTGCAGCAACTAGCGCAATTGGCGGGCCCACCGCCCCGCACCAGAAGTGTGGCGGTCACGGCCGCCAAAGACGTTGCAGACTTAGATGGGGAGGAGCTGACCGAAGAGGAAGTAGCCCTGCTGGAAGAGGGTCAGTCAGCCCTGAGCACGGACCAGATGCTGCACCTCGCCTTGGTGAAGGCCTTGGGAAAAGGGAGCAAGTCCCGCAAAAAAGTAGGCTTGGCTTTGGGAGACAGCTCAGACGAGGAGGAGGACGATCCGCTCAGGAAGTTGAGCGGAGCCCGCGGCACCCTTTTGCAAGAGAAGTTGAGACAAGGGATGGATGCAACACCAATGGCGTACGTGAACTCCATCGAAAGCATGGCTGCTGCTTGCCTGGGGCAGACTCAACCCACGCAAGACACAATGGAGAGGTTTGTGCGGGAAGAGATGCCAATTGGATCCAGCCGGGATTTGGGCTATATGGTTTGGGCTATTGTCAAGGCTTTGAATCTGATGCGGAGCAAGAGCTACGACAAAGCCCAGCTCGTTCTCATGCTGACCTTGGCAGCGGTGGAGCAGTACAGGCTGGACCAAAATTGGCAGTCAGCATGGAGGTTAACGCACCTGGGCCTGCCACCCTTTCAGGAATGGAAGGTTCGAGAGCAATCGGTGCAGCAGCTTCGCCTGGATCATGCCCACAGTCGCTTGATTCATGCAACATGGGCGGCAGCAATCACTGCACGTCTCAAGGACGAGGAGGTGCTGATGAAAAGGCGAGGAGCTCCAAAAGCGTTTCCCCGAGCCGACAAAGGCGGCGACAAAGGCAAAGGCCGTGGTCGCAAGGCGGAACAGGAGGAGCAGCAGCAGATGTGAACATGAGGCCCCGAACTTTTGAAGATTGGCCAATATTTTTGCTTAATTCATTACTCAAATCTAGGACAGATTTTGCGAAGTTTGTACATGCTGGTCGACGCTGCAGTGGGCCTTCAGACGCACGGTCCGCAGAGCTTTTTCCAATCCCAGTGCCATTTCCATGGACTCCTTCCAATGCCATTCATGGCGCGTCCAGACGTAAGCGCCAGCGGTGGCGGCGTAGAAGGGCAAAGGAGATTTTGATCAACTTGCAAATTGCGGGGTTGAATTTTGTGTTTGGCAAATCTGGGCCTTGGCATTTTGGGATCCCCTTAACCTCTTCTCAACTCACTGTCGTAGACAATCTTTTGTTGAGGGCTCGCTCTCTAAGCCGCCTTGGTGGACACGTCTTCTCAGGGTGCGGCTCCAAGGTTGAAGACACAGCCTCTGAATTAGAACGTTTGCATGCGTTGTTTTTTGATCAGGATATCCCCTATGGCTCCAATCAGGGTCATGAGAATCAGAGATCTAGGTCAACTCCTGCGGTTGTTGTCCCCACGGTGGCATCTTCCGTGGCTTTCCCGGAAGAGTTGCAAGGTTTTAACCCCTTACCCTTTCTGGATGAGGAATTCTCCCGGGCATACCACGACCCTAGCTGTTTATTGCATGGTCAGTACAGGGAGCAGCCGCGGATGATGCCACCTGATGCTGTGTCGGCCGCGACCCGGAGTGAATTGCTCCATTTGGGATGGCGCTGGGATCAAGTAGATCGGCTTGCCTTAGCTCTTCCGAGCGAAATAGAAAACCAAGACAGATCGGGTTTGTTTTGTATTTCAAAGCCTGATGGAGAGCTTAGGCAAATAATAGACCGACGACCCCGAAATAGCCGGGAACTTCCGCCCCCTCAACATGGACCAAAAATGGGACACCCTAGTTCTTTGTTGGGTATTGTCATTCCTCATGGTTTTGATTTGTTGGGTAGTGTTGATGACCTCAAGAATTTCTATCATGAATTCCAAGTATCCCACAAGCGTGGTCTTAGCACCCCTGTAGGTCCCTGGTGGTCCGTTTCGGAGTGGGAAGGTTCCAAAGCTTTAGCTGATTTGAAGTCCAGACATCCCCGGTTGCATTTGAAACCATCTGACACCATCTTCATGTGCTTTAAAGGTCTTAGTATGGGGGATCATTGGGCACCTGCCTTTGCCCAAATGGCTCACGAGAACCTCTTAGCGTCTCATGGGGCTTTGAAACCGGAGGAACATCTACGTTTTGGGGAAATCACCCCAAGGGCCCCGTTAGGTCACTTTTCGGGTGTATGCATTGATGACAAGCTTAACCTTCAGCTAACCCCTAAAAAGTTTTGGGATGTTCCGCTTCGGGATTCAGAGTCGTGTAATCAAGTGGACACAGCCTATGAGACCGCTGGCCTCACCCATCACCCTAAGAAGCGATTGCGCAGGGTTCCGGTCACTGTGGCTTGGGGCGCCCAAGTCGAAGGCGTTTGCGGCCTAATCAGTGCAAAGCGAGAGCGTCTTTGCATGCTGTCTATGGCCACGATGTTTGCTGCGTCATCTTCTGCCCTCACTCGCACTTTAGTGGAAAAGATTTTGGGGTTTTGGACATTTTGTTTCCAATTCAGACGGTGTCTCTTTAGTTTGATCCATGTGCTCTATGGGATTGGGGCTTCTAATGGATCTGTAGACGCCCCATTTCGACCCACTAGGGAGGCCAGAGGTGAGTTGCAGCTTTTAAGCATTTTGGGTCCCACGGCCTTAGCTCAGTTGCGACGTCAGGTCAGTGCAACAATTTACGCAACTGACGCAGCGCCTGGAGGGGCGGGGGCGGTTTCGTGTTATGTTGGCGACCGTGTGTCCCAGGAATTGTTTCGTAGGGCAGAATCCCAGGGTTTCCACACCAAACTTTTACCTCCTATCAGTGCTTTTTTTCAAGAGCAAGGGTTGCCAGTGTGCCCGACCGTGGCATCGCACGATTTTGAGTTCCAAGCGCCGCCCGCCTTGGAAGGCGACCTACTGCCACAGGAACCGCGTTTTGTGCAGTCTGCAGAGTGTGGGGTGGTTAAAATATCGGCACCTGGTGTGCAAGCATGGGCGCAGAAGTTTTGGGAGTTTTCGCCGCAGGCCCCACCTGATGATGGACTCATTCCAGCACCCCGCAAACAATTATCCTTCAGATTTGATTTCATTGAAATCTATTCTGGTTGTGCTCGTATGACAAAGGCATTTGCGGATAGGGGTTTAGTAGTGGGACCCCCGATTGAATTGAAAGAGGGGTGGGACCTGTTCGACAAAGATTTGAGTCGACTCCTTCTTTTTCTGTGTATGGCAGGTAGGGTTGCGATCCTTTGGTTGGGGCCCCCTAGTACAACCTTTTCATTGGCTCGGTGCCCCAAACTTAGGAGTCGCGCGCAGCCCCTGGGTTTTGATTTGTTTAATTTGGATGTTCTGGCTGGAAATTATCACATGCACCTTTCCATCTGTTTGTGGGTCGCCCAGAAGTGCGCCGGGCGGATTGCCCTTCTAGAGACCCCCTGGTTCGCTTTTACTAGATTCCTTTCAGCATGGTTGTGGTGCCGGCATTTAGGTGGTGTAGACATTCGGTTGGACCTATGTAGATTTGGAACCCCCTATTTGAAAGGTACTTGAATATTGGGATCCCATACATGGTTAAGGGCCATGGGGCGTCTTTGCACTGGCGACCATACTCATGTTAAACTGGAGGGTTTTCAAGCCGCGTGTTCAGCTGCATATCCGTTTCCCATGTGTGAACATGTTGCAGACATAGTCATTGAAGGGTGTGATGCTTTACAGGGGCATAAGAAATCCCCAGCTCATGACGCTTCACATGTTGATGTGCAGACTGGAATTTCTCCACCTTTGCGGGATTGTAGGAGCTCTCGTAAGTTTGTAAGTCACCTATGGGCCACCCAGCTTTCTGAAACTCTCCCGTGGAAGGTGTGCAAAAAATATAAATTTCGAAAAGAAGGGCACATCAATGTGTTGGAGTGTCACGCGCGTCGATCTCTCCTGCTCAACATTCCAGCCCAGCAGAGGGTAGTAGTCATGCAAGATTCCATGGTCACACTTGGTGCTAGTGCAAAGGGTCGGAGTAGCAGCCCTTCACTGAACAAGGTTTTAAGACAGGAATGTGCAATTTGTGTTGCCAAAGATCTTTATGTTGGTGGCATCCATTCCCCCACATGGGCGTTGCGGGCTGACGACCCATCCAGAGGACGCTCCGTGCGTCTGCCTCGGGCCCCTCTGCCCGGCTGGTTCTTAGACTTGCGAGCAGGGCGCCTGGCACAAGCTCAGGACACTTTAGATGATCTCTCCCAGACTCCGCGGTCTGCCGGCCGGTGGTTTCTGTTTGCGGCAGCAGCTTGTTTGGCTGGTGTTGGCGGTTTCAATACAATCCGTGATTGGGCCTCGTCCATCCGCTGCGCCTCGCAACAGAGACGATTTGGAACAAGGGAGGGTTCTTCAGACCACCGCTGCCCTCAGAAGACAGCTTCTGGACGCTTTTGTGGACTGGATACAGAATCAGGAAGCCAGTGCGACCGGAGCTCGTCCTTTCGCAAGTTTGGCCAGGGAGACACCCATAGTTGTGACGGAGTTGCTGGAAGAATACGGCCGAGTTCTCTACGAGACTGGGGCAAGCCGACGAACATTTGCGGAAACAATTAATGTGGTCCAACAGAAATTCCCATTCTTGAGGAGAATGATGACTGGCCCGTGGCAACTGGCAACTACTTGGGAAAGCTTACACCCATCTCAAATGCATCCTCCAATCCCGAAACCTCTCTTGGAGGCAATGGTGAGCATTTCAATTTCTTGGAAGTGGCACCGCCTAGCTCTGCTGCTTTTGTTGGGCTTTTACGCTTTACTGCGGCCTGCCGAACTTTTCTTCTTGAAGGTCAAGCACTTTGTACTGAGCGATCTGACAGGTCTAGACAGTGTAGTTCTCATCCAGCTGCTTCAAACAAAGACCAGAACGCGGGGAGCTCGTTTTCAAAGTGTCCGGCTCGAAGAGCCGCGCGTGATCGTTTTCTTGCAGAAGTGTTTAAGTGTCATGACTCAGAACGAACTTCTTTGGCCGCTCTCGCCAGCCCTGTTTAGAACAAGATTTGACCAAGTGCTCACCAGAGCCTGCGGAATTTCCAAATTAGTATACCCTTCATCACTTCGACCAGGAGGGGCAACTTTTCTTTTCCAATTGTGGAAAGAAGATATCCAAAAACTCCAATGGAGGGGGCGTTGGTTACATATGAAAACCATGCTTCATTACATCCAAGAGTTAGGGGCTGTAAATATTTTTGACAAGTTGGAGCCTGCACAGAAGTCACGGGTGCTCCTGCTTGCTCAACTTCTCCCCGAAGCTCTTGCCAATTGTGTTGTAGTGGTGGACACCCTTTCTCTTGTTGCAGCTTTCGCGAATGCTGGTAGCTAGCTCTGGGTCTTCCCGGCCCTATCCCCCCCAAAAAGTAAGGGTGGTAACTGATATCTTGTTGTGCACAGCTGTGCTCGTCAAGTCTAGTTCCATCACCTTTTGCAGCTACCAGCAGAAAAAAGGAGTTTTGCGTGGAAGAACGCATGAACATCATTTGCGTGTGTGTAATGCGAAGCTCAAGTGCAACCAGGAGGAAGGTGGAGGCAAGAATATATATATATATATAATCGCCACCCTTTTCGTGCGGTGTAAGCAAGGGGGGGGTTCAAAAAATGTAAGCAACCATTTTGACCCCTGCGGATTTTTTCCCGATGGGGAAGGCTATAGACCCCTCCTACGGCAAAAACCGTGCCCGGAAGATTTACATTTAGGGAGGGGGGGTTGAAAGTCCGCAAGAGATACGTCACCCTGTACCCCCCTCCGAACCCCCACCCGTACTCTATGGATAGGGGGGGGTGGGGGGAGGTAAAAATTGTTAAATGTCCGCAAGCAGTTTGTAAACTGTTTGTGAGGTGTCTTTGTGGGGATGTAATCAACCTATGTCTGAGGTCCATAGTTCCTTGCAGAAAGTGTTCAAAAAAGAAGGTAAAACTAAGATAGAAAAATGTAACCATCCTGCACCTGAGGCCTATAATTCCTGGCAGAAAGTGCTTTAAAAAGAAGGTAGAGATGAGATTAAAAAAATGTAAGCATCCTACACTTGAGGTCCTTAATTCCTTGCAGAAAGTGCTCAAAAAAGAAGGTGGATATAAGATAGAATCATGTAACCATCCTACACCTGAGGTCCTTAATTCCTTGCAGACATTGCTTAAAAAGAAGGTGAAAATGATATAGACAAATGTAACCACACTACACCTGAGGCTTGTAATTCCTTGCAGAAAGTGCTTAAACAAGAAGGTAACTATAAGATTTTAAAAAACTACATCCTATACATAAGGTCCATAGTTCCTTGCAGAAAGTGCTCGAAAAAGAAGGTAAAGCTAAGATTGAACAATGTAACCATCCTACACCTCAGGTTCCACAGTTCCTTTCAGAATCAACATGACACATGTGTAGATTGTTATTATACCAGTATTACCGCACAAGGCGGTGGCGGAAGTTTCAAAAATAGGAAACCTATAGGAGAGGTTGGTTGTTGTGAATCAGGGATGGCAGAGCGAAGCCACTGATTGACCGAAAGGTGCTTGAGGTCTCCTCTCTTTCGCTCTCTTTCTCTGACTATCTACCTACCTACCTATCTATCTATCTATCGATCTATCTATCTATCTATCGATCTATCTATCTATCTGTCTATCTATCTATCTATCTATCTCTCTCTCTCTCTCTCTCGCTTTCATCTGTCTATCTGTCTAGCTGTCTACCTGTCTATCTGTCTATCTATATCTCTATCTGTCTACCTGTCTATCTGTGGTGCAGTGTCATTCAGTGTAATGTAGCGTAGTGTAATGTAGTGTAGTGTAGTGGAGTGTAGTGGAATGTAGTGTAGTGTAATGTAGTGTAGTGTAGTGTAATTTTGTGTAGTTGTAGTTGTAGTGTTGTGGAATGTAGTGTAGTGTAATTTAGTGTAGTGTAGTGTAGTGTAGTGGAAGGTAGTGTAGTGTACTGTAATGTAGTGTAGTGTAGTGTAATGTAGTGTAGTGTAATGTAGTGTAGTGTAGTGGAGTGTAGTGTAGTGTAATGTAGTGTAGTGTAGTGTAATTGAGTGTGATTGAGTGCAGTGTAGTGTAGTGGAGCGTAGTGTAGTAGAATGTAGTGAAGGTGTACTTGTAGTTGTAGTGTAGTGTAATGTATTGGAGTGTAGTGTGGTGTAGTGGTGGTTGTAGTTGAAAATGCTACAAAACCCTCACGTTTTGCTCACTTTTGACAAGGTCCACAATCCCTTGCACATCTGAACCTCCAAAAGTGGTCCGTACATGGTGTGTTTTGTACATTTTGACTTCGAAATGTGCTTCGCGCCACAACGGCGTGCACTTTTTCGACATCTCAACTTCCAAAAGTGCTCCGAGACCGCCAGTTTTTAACACTTTTGACTTCCAAATGTGCTTCGCGCCGCAACGGCGTAAACTGCTTCGCGCCACAACGGCGTGCAACTTTTCATCTCTCATCTCCCCAGATGTCTCTGCACCCGCCGCTTTAGCGAGCCTACTTTTCAACCCCCCGGAGCCACAAAACCACGAAAAAACACAGTGTTTCGCGCACCTGCATCTTCTTTCTTCTGATCTTTTCTCTTCTGACTCTTCTCCCTGCTGACTGCTTTTTCATCTCTCCATACTGTCGGAAGTTTGACTTCTAAACTTCCTTCGATTATAGTTGGAGGGTCATAAGGGGGGCTAGATAGGAACCGTGGCAGAAGGGTGTTTAAGTTCGATCATGTAGGCACATAAAGGGGATTTACCATGGGGACCCCATAAAGGTTCATTTGATGTCCTTTTGAGGTCCATTTGAGGTCCTTTTGAGATCGATCTTTATTTGTATTCTATTGTTTTTTCCATAGCTAGGAGGTAAATTTGAAGACCTTCAACATCTAATTTTACATTTATTTGAAGCTCAAGGATTTTCCAGTAATTTGCAAGGAATAATATACCTTCTATACCTCTATATTATATGTGGAAATGATAAAAAAGGTGTAGAAAAAGAAGCGTAGAATGTATTGGAAATACCAGGCAGTTGGGGACCTACACACTTCCAGTTTGCATTTTTGATTTTCTGCAATTCTGCAGCTATTTGCAGACCTTCACACTATTTGTTTTTACGTTTTTTTCATTTTCTTACATTTTCTTTCAAGCATGCAATGGACAATATTGAACGCCCCCCTGCGTTTTTTAAGAAAATAAATGAAATCCCGTAAAGAATGAGGGGACCTACTAGAATGAAATCTTGCAAATAAGACGCAGTTAAACAAAAATAAATGCCTGCCAACATTTAACAGGACCACCACCCTCAAAAACGTCTAAATTGTGTCTTGCAATTTGGGTACGCCCCCCCTCCTTAAAAGGGTAGTGATTATATATAAATATATCTACTTGACAACCCGAAAATAACTTCAATCAACCACTATGGAACTCTTGACTAAACAAACAATACCGTCTAGTCAAACAACATGAAGGTTTTAACAACCTGGGTTGAAATCATCCAGGGGAGGTTGAATCAACAATGCGAATATCAGCAGATATCCGATGAGATATATCGTATTTCCTGCCACCAACGAACAGGTCAGTCTGGTTCTTTGCCTCATGATATTCAGGCTTTGCAAGGGGCTTTGGATTGAAATCCAGCACGCAAATTTCTTAAATTTGGAGGTTTCTGTTCCCAAACAAAACCATGGAGCCTGACAAGTTCCACCAATCTAAATTCCCAGAACTTGGGTTACAACTACCGCACCTTGGGTTATTTTCTTTCAAGGTGTCAAATGGTTGGACCTTGGGCTTTTGGTTGGCTCCACTCGGAGGTTCGAAGTGGATGTGCGTGGACAGACCGTGATGATGCACACACTTGAGACCTCCACGGAGTTTTACCACCAGGCGGGCAGTTTTCCGAGACGGCAGAGAAACGGCAAGTCTTCTCGTTTAAGACTTAAGACTACTGATATAAGCTACGTCATAAAACAGTTAAAACAGAGATCACACGGCAAAGCCAAGTTTGCTAAAGAAGTTACGTACTGAAATCAGCAAACGACATACTGAAGTTCGCAAGCATTGCCACAGAACAGTTTATGACATGTACTTATAGACAACTATATGTTTTTGTTGGTCTTGTTTTGAAATCTACTACTGACGCACATATATATATTATATATATACATAGTAATATATATGTATATATATAGTTTTAAGATAATGCATACTTATGATATTGCAGCTGTGATACACAATCAAGGTAGTAGATTTACCACACTCTTTCCCTTCCTCCCAGGTCTTTGCTTCTGGCAATGCCACCGTCTTCCTGTTGCGTTTCATCTGTTGCACCTGGGTCTTTTCTCAGGCGGGTCGCTGGTCTGGTGAAAGTGTGGCCATTATGTGAGGGCCAGCAATGCAAACTCTGTAGGTGTACCTGCAGGAGTTCAGAAGTGCGGCTTGGTGGCACTATTGTTTGGAACAAATATGCAGTCCTTGGAGGCGAATATCAAGTAATATCCGAGACAAAATTGGATTATAACCATGGTTCATGTGTGTGTTGATTCCAATATTGCCAACAATGATTACCCTCTGGTTATTTAACATAGCCATGGAAAATAGCCCATTTATAGATGATGTTCCCATTAATACCTCCATTTATAAGGGATTTTCCATGGCTATGTTAGTCATAACCAGAGGGTAATAGCTTTTTCATCGGTGTTTTACCGCCCCCACATGGTAAGATGGCGGAAATGGAGAATAGTTTCGTATTGTAAGGTTTATCATGGGCAACGTCTAGTCCAGCCGCAAGTTTCCCTGGGGTTTACAACTCGGTTCAAAAAAAGATCATGTCAGAAGTGGCTGCTAAACCTCTGGTTGTCGATTAGTTCTGGGGTTATACTGCTCAATATACGTATTGTACATATTAGATTATATATAGAGTAATATATAATAATATACAATAATATGTATATATATATATATATTATATTATATTATGTATATATATATATATATTCAGATTATCATCATCCTTTCTCACTGATATAGCTTGACAATCTCCGTGTAACCTTGAGATACCTTGAGGTCAGGGCGCTGCTTCGCTACCACGACTTCAGCCGCTGGTTTCTGCCGCTGAAGGGTGAGGCCCTCCTTTTTCGCTCCGAGAATTGATGGGACAAAACTGCAGGAAAACATAGGAACACCCACTTTTCATGCATTGGAAAAAAAAGGTGTCCGGTAAATGCATCAGAATGCTTAACTTAAAGCAACGACGATGTCTCCAAACAAATGATCAAATGGTTGGACAGGTATTGCATCACCCCCTGAAAGAATCTGTGACATTTGCACTTCACTGGCTGTTTGTAGTTTGGCCATGTTTGGCCTAGTTCCAGGACCCAAGAGAATTCCAAGATTTTGACAATGAACATAAAAAAAACATATTGGAAGTCACATAAAGTGTATCAGCAACATTTTGATACGTTCACACCAGGTGTATCAAAATATCACATAAACATGCTGAATGTTGCTGATTCGACGTGAGGAAGTGCGAAATTCCTGGGCCATTTGCATCCCAATCATTCAGCAACTTGGCGGCCGGGATGGCCTGGGCTTCCTGGGCTTCCCACAGCCCAAAAAACCGTCGCAGTTGTCTCACAGCTCTGACGGCGTAAGGTACATGGTATTGCAATGCATCACCATCGTGCCTGGTTGACTGACTGGGCGCTGACTGGGCAGGGTGTTTCAAGGATTGGAAACACAATGGCAGTGGCACAAGTGGCACAAGTGGCGCAAGCCAAACGCCATTGCAACCGGATTTCGCACCTTGCAAAATATAGTCAGAAAACATGTAGAATGGTTTTGCACACGGATTACGTTCCGTCAACTACAAAACCTGAAGTTCAAGCTGGGTGCATCAACAATTGCATTATACAGTAAATGGTTACTGTACAATGTCTCACTGTGCTCTTAAAATGCTGCCCCATCTGGAGGGTTTGCTGGACTCCTGGACCTGCATCTACGCAGAGGTGTCTTTCTTGGTGATTTGCGCCTTCGATGAGCCCTTCGACACTTGCCGATAAGATCATCGGCGCCAAGGGAGCAGAAGATCCCTGATAGCCTCTGCGCCTATTCTTTTCCCAAGAAACACCTGGATGGCGGATGGAATGATAGAGCTGTATCCCCAACAAAACTAGCATTCCATGAATTGTCATTCTATAGCATAAATATACAGCCATTCTTTTCACACATATCATTCTTAG